AGAGCGGTTGGCCAATCTTTACTATTGTTGTCTGACATCCATGCTGCTAAGATTGCTTCAATATCTCTATTAGCGCGTTCTACCGACCCTTGGCTCTGGCTATGTCGTGGTTTGCCATGTACAATTTTTACATCACTCCACATTTCGTTAAGATTAGTAATAATTGAATTAATTGGCTTCGAAACCAAACCCTTTTTCGGATTAGGTTGTTTTTTTTTGACAATATGAACAGAAGCTTAAAAAAAACCATAATTGATTCTTTGGTAACGACTAACGTTACAATATTTATGTTTTAATTCAGCAACCATTCTATCTCTTCCCCCATGCCCAATTGCAATATGAGTAGCATATAGGACGTCGAACATTTCATCAACTTTTAAATAATAGAGAACTGCTCCATCTGATATTGGTTTAATTAATTTTTCTTTCCCAGCAATAGTCATAACATCGTACTTACGAACTAATCTGTAATCTTGTGGTTTTTTTTTTTTAATTTCGCACTTTTAACAGCCGTTAGTTTTTCGTCATACTGCACAGTATTGATGTATGCTGTGTTATCGTCCCGTTTTTTCTCATCAATTAATAAGGAAATTGCATTTTCGAATTTTATTTTCATTTCTTCGATCTCCATAGCAAAAATGAAACAAAAATGTATGAACTCACTCACATCGATGTCGGAACAAAATGTTTTCGATAATCTGTACTGAATGTGAAGTGAACGTGAACTGTGCACAAACAAATTGATCGACTTTAAAGGTAATAAAATTAGGTACTATAGATGGATACTAGATACATGTTATCGCTATCTTTTACTTAATATAGGTACCTAATGTACGACCATCGACATATCATAGCTGATAAGTACGTACTGATTATACTTAGATAATGATAATCTTCTAGAATTTTACAACACAAGAACATTTCTAATCAAACCAACAAATAAATGATTTTATATTTTTACCCATCACGCCTGAAAAAGCCCGGAGTTATCATCATTACCTAGGAAATATTTCTAAATACATCACTGACTGATAATAACAGACATTAACGATATTTCCTAGTCAATATCGTATACTGCCTAATTTGATCGGAAAAATCGTTATTGACTAGTCATTAACATTAATTCCTTAATTTACATCATTGACGGTAACATATATAGGTAGCAGTTATCTTTACTTTGGTCATTCTCTGACATTATAACAAAAGTAAGGTTCTAAACCCATGCTTGCCTACCATAAAATGTATCTGTGACACTCAGTTTAGGAAGCTGTTGATTTTGCATCATATCAAAACATACCTGAACAGTATTCGGTAATTTTTCTACCATCATTCGAGAAAAACATTTTGATTTATTTTTGTGTTCCAATAATACATATTCCAAATCAACTTTTTTCTCAATATCAATTTCATTTTTTATTTTAATTGAAGTTTCAGAACAAAATGAACAGACATCTTGTCTCGGATGTCCAAAACTCAAATTAAAATTATTACAAAAAACATCATAATATTTACTTAGAGATGTAGTAGATTGATTACTAACTTCCCTCTTTTTCTTCCAATGTTTCCACATAACTGCCGTCTGCCACAGATAAACCGGGTTGCAAGTAACTACGGCCTGTATCTTCTCTACAATAATGACTCTTTTTACTTTTAAAAGATTCTATATGGTTTTTAATAGATATAGTTATTTCGTCAAATGTATTTACCCTTGTAATACTAAATCCTCCTCTTTTTTCTTTGGGTCTACTATGACTTTTTTTTAAGTTTTAAGCTATTATATTTAAACGCCTTTTTGTAATTCTTGTAATGTCAGTAAATGCAATTGAACAGACTTGAAGAAGGTCACCTTTTTCTGTAGGCAAATAATAAACAATCACTGTTTTTTCTTCTTTGTTTCCTTTGCGACGATCCGTTCTCATTGGACATTTAATTTTCATCATTGTAAGGAGGAATTTATCTTGTTCTATTTTGTAAGATAAATCACATAAATTTGTTTTAAAAGCGCTTATATCAGTTGGCTTTAAAATTGATACATTACATTTTTTTTATACTTTATTGGAGTGAGGACATGTAAGTAACCACTCATGAGGAATTTTGTTTATTGTATTTGTCTTATTTTCTATTGATTTATTTTATTTCTTTTTCTACCACTTGGATTTGTCTGTACAAGTTCAGCATACTCAGGATTTGAACTTATGTTTGAGATTTTAGCAGGTGTATCATGTTCAGTTATTTGAAGATCAGTAGTGCATGGTATTTGTATAACAATAGGAAACAAGTCATCAAGTGTTGTGTTATTGTCAGGAACTAGTTCATCATTGTTGTAAATAAAATCCATTTCTTGGATGTCTAGATCATTCTATAAATATATTAAATAACACTAATTAAAACAATGTAAAAATTAATACAATTTTCATATTTTTACCTCTGGAGTATTTGAAGATAATAAAGTGTCGGTAAGCTCTGTATTTTCACTAATATTCAGAAGATCCTGGTTCTAAAAATACTAAATATAATTTCAAAATTAGCTTAATTCAATAAATAGGTAACTCCACTTATACAATCTCACCATATTAATAATGTCTCTTGAGTTGTTATAATTCAGTGGTTCACATGCATTTAACCAATTTGTAACTTTGTCCTACAAGACAAAAAAATATACTCTTTTAATAAATATTTCAATTACCCTAAGACTATATTATTATATTTGCATACATTGAATACATTTTCATCGATTTTGTTGACAAATAAGTCAATTTTGTTTTGTTCTTCATAAGCAGTATCCTAAAATATAATAATATAATATTAGTTGTTGTGTGATTAAAATTTGCTAGGACACATATTTTTCTATAATTTATTGTATCTAATTTTTAATATATTATTATACTTTAATGGAGTTAGATTTGCTGCTGTTACTGAATGATTTTTTTTCACAAGACATTAACCACTCATTAATTTTATCCTAGACAAAAATACATATGATATACATACTGATCTACATTCATAAATATAAAAAAAATAAATCAATACAAATATATATACAACAGTAAAATATTAAGATAGAGATTTTAAAATAAATATTAAATAATACATTTTCTTATAGGTTCAGAAATCCATGTTTTCATCACTAGTCTAACTTTTTTTCTACATTTTAAAAGATTTTGGAGCTTAATATAATATTGACTTAATAAAAAAAAAAATTATAATTTCTCTTTTTGTAAAATGTACTAACTTTAGATGAATTTACATTATACATTTTAATATTTATTTATTTGTACACAAGGCACATGAAATATTAGTAAATGTTTTTAAAAATTATTAATATTAGGTATCTTTTAAGTAACTACCTATTTAACTTATTAGTTATTACTAATAAGTATTATTGAATATTGATGAATAATCTTTATAATAATAATTTAAAAAAATACACAATATTAATTTATTACCTACCATTTAACATTTTAGTAGAGGTATTAGGGAATGGAGTATTAATTTATCAAAACGGTACAGTATTATGACAGAATAGGGTATAATATTTAAACAAATAAACTTTAGTTTTAACAATATCTAAAGAAATATATACTTATGTCAAATATATATTTTAATATTAATTTTATTATAAGGTAAAATATCCTACTTACTTCAGTTTTATTGGCTAATTTATCAATATCACGCTTCCCTGCTTGAGTTGAAGGTGGAAAAAGATTCCTGGAGACCTATTATTTAATTTATAAACCAACATTTATAAAAACGTGTCTATTTCAGTATTTTGGTTACTTCTTACCTTTTTAGCAGCTTCAATCATTCTTCTTGAGCGTTTCATTCTAATTCTAAAAGTTGAAAATAAGTCAAACGAAGTAATGAATAAAAACAAAAAATAAAAAAAGCGGGTAAGTGGATGTCAATCTGCTGTTCATTGGGCGTCCAGAAGATCTCTGTGATGGATGGTATAACATTTAAATTCAATTATATCATATCATTGTATACGAAAACGATTCTGAGCAGAGATGGTATGTCAGTCTATAGGATATTTTATATTGTTATTACTTACTGTTCGAACACGGCTGAACTTCCCGCCGAATCTACCAAAGTCCAAAGGCTTTACAAGTCTCATGTTCGCACTGATCACTATTGAAGTTCCCCGGTATATAAATGTTCGTCACGGATCACCATGCTTGCTGTTGGGTTTTTGCGACGCGTCGCAGCTTGGCTACGCAGCCGTAGCGTATGTGCGCATTATCGATGCTCCGACAGATAATTGTATTTTTTTACTTGGGTCAAAAACCAAATTAGCACCAGTAAAACCGTTGACTGTGCCGCGCCTTGAGCTAAATGCGGCGGTGCTATTGGCCCGCTGGTTAGGTCGTTTAAATCACATACTGGCGCCACAATTAAATATAGTCGGTATTCATGCGTGGTCCGATTCTATGATCGTTTTGTCGTTGTTGAACGTTCCCCACGAATCGTTCAAAACATATGTGTCGAACCGCGTACATCAGGTCCAAACTTTGATACCTACCTGTCAGTGGCATCATATTGATTCGTTAAACACCCCCGCCGATTGCGCGTCACGGGGTGTCATGCCGTCAGTGTTAGCGCATTTAACCTTATATTGGAGCGGGCCGACGTTAATCTATACAGATATGTCCGAGTGGAAACAAATGTCGTCCCCAGTCCCCGTAGATGGGCTACCCGAACTCAAACCTATAGTTTGCACTACTGTCGTCGACGATGCGCGCGCCGAATGGTTCAGTAATTTTTCGTCGTTCGATCGCATGATCAGGGTGATAGCGCGTGTTCGCCGGTTCATTAATTGTTGTCGTACGGGCAGATCCGGTTTCCGTCCGCCTGAATATTTATGTAAGTCCGAGCTCGATGATGCAACACGCGTGCTAGTATGAGTGTCGCAACGCGTTTATTTTGTCGCGCTACGACGCGAACTGTCGAACAGCCATCGTATTTCGTCGAAATCACTGTCAAAATTATCGCCCTTTGTCGACGCCTATTCGGTGATCCGAGTAGGGGGTCGTTTAAAACACTCCCTGTTAACATACGATTGTAAACATCCCGTCCTATTGGCAAAAGAGTCATATTTCTCCAAGTTATTATGCGAAAGGTGGCACAAACTAACTTGTCATTCGGGACCGCGAATCATGGCAGCTCTGATTTCGCGGCAATATTGGGTAATCGCGCTCAGGTCTGTGCTGCATGGAGTAATGTCACGTTGTACCGTGTGCGTGCGGCTGAATGCGCAACCGGTGCAACCGTTAATGGCTAACTTACCAGCCGCGCGAGTACAGCGGTGTAGGCCATTCGCCCGTGTAGGTATCGATTTCGCCGGGCCGTTGCAAATGCGAGATCTCGGGCTCCGAAAAGCCTTCATATACAAAATCTATATAGCCGTGTTTGTCTGTTTTGCTGTTAAGGCTGTACACCTGGAAGTAGTCTCCGACTTGTCTACCGAGGCGTTTTTGGCGGCTTTTGACCGTTTTGTCGCCCGAAGGGGCTTACCTAGCGATATATATTCGGACTGCGGCACAAATTTCGTCGGGGCAAATAAACAATTGCACAACCTAATAAATAGCCCTGAGAATCAAGTTGCTATCGCAAATTCGTGTTCTATAGTTGAGTGGCATTTCAACCCCCCGAGCGCTCCTCATTTCGGGGGATTGTGGGAGGCCGCCGTGCGGTCCACTAAGCGACTATTGGTTCGAGTTATCGGGAACCACGTTCTTACGTTCGAAGAATTTACCACAGTATTGACGCGCATAGAGGCGGTACTTAATTCTAGGCCGTTAACACCTGCGTCCACAGTTCCCCACGATTTGGAATGCATAACGCCGGGACATTTTTTGATAGGCCAGCCTTTAATAGCCGTTCCTCCGAGGTCTACCCCTGATGCCAAACGTAATGTCCGGGATAGGTGGAAACTACTTGACCAATGCCACCAGGCGTTTTGGAGACGATGGTCGAACGAATATTTGACCACTCTTCAGGAGCGGTCTAAGTGGACCCAAAATGCTCCTAATTTAAACGTCAATGATATGGTGGTAATTATTGATAATCACAGCCCCCCGCTGATGTGGCGGCTAGGCCGGGTCATGGAGGTAACCCCAGGGGCTGACGGCATTGTCCGTGTTGCTCGTGTATTAACTCAAGCTGGAGAAATTGTCCGACCTGTGGTTAAATTGGTATTGTTACCCACTGAATGAACATTGTACTGCTCGGCCTGGTGTCATCAGCACATCGCGGTGAACTGCCATGCTCCCCACCTTTCTTCCCTGGTATGAGTCTATTGCTACGAATTATGTGCGTCCCTCGACAATCCGGGCGTTGGGACGGGGGGAGTCCTAACATTGTATTATTTCATTATTTGTTGTTTATTTATTGTATTATTCTTTGTACTAATTTTTTACTATTATTATGTATTTGTGTTGTCTTTATACAACTAATTATTTATTATTAATTGAACCATACGTTCCTCCTTTTATATATTATGTAGATTTTTTATTTTGCACGCAAATGTAAGATTCGTCATTGGCCTGATCGACAACGCGAACATCATCTGACCATGAGCATTGGACCTCCACCTTCATCGTTGGAATTTTCCCAGCCGGTTCTTCCAACGTCGTGTGAGCCATAGCCCACAGGGGGGAGAATGTTCGAACACGGCTGAACTTCCCGCCGAATCTACCAAAGTCCAAAGGCTTTACAAGTCTCATGTTCGGCGCGGAATGTTCGCGATGAGTCGTTCCCCCTCCACGGCGTCCACACGCCGGCCGGCGTCCACGGCTCCCGTGCCAAGGACGTTTTTTGTGGTTGTCTTTTTCCTACGCTCGAGCCTGGCGGATCACGTACCGCCGGTTCGCGTGGCTTCGTGTGGCTGTGGTTAGACCTCGTGGTCATTATTCTTAACTATTTATGATTTACGCTCATAATTGGTGCACGTTTATACCGTCGTAAACTTGAAGACAGTTTAAGTTTGACGGACTGTGTCACCCCACACCACCGAATTATTTCATTATATGTGTCAACGCTGGACCGTCGTTCAACTGCGCCCCGGTGCCGATTTTGGTTGATGACGAGGAAGACGCTGTCGCATTTCCAGCGAGGACCGTGGTGACCAGTGACCTGTCCCCGAGGTGTCGATCAGGTCATATCATAAAATTACCATTGTTTATTGTTATAGTTATTGTTCAAATTATTATTACTGTGCAAACTATTATTTTTATTGGTTGTAGCGCGTGTCAAATTGTACACGGCGTTTACAATATTTATTATTGTGTAAAAATATATATATATCGCGTCATTACGCATTAACCTAATCAATAAGATTTGTACGAGGTAATATATTGTGAGTTCGCTCCTCTTCCCTGCTACGGCATTGCGCGAGTCGTTGTCGCTAACCGCGATTGTTAAAAGTAGGAGCGACACGGCGCACACTATGTTTCAGTTAGAAATTAATAAAAGTTTTTCTTTTCATAGCTAAAATTAGAAATTAGTAATAGAAGATTCACAAAAAGTTTTTTTTGCCTCTATTAAAAAAAAAAAAGTTCACCTAAACGTTAAAACTAGAGTTAAGATTTTAGTGACTTTTGAATTTTTTTCTTTTAGTGGTACCTAACTGTTCTAACCAAAAAATAAATTTAATTCGTGATATAACAATTTAGAATGTGTAATTTTTATTTTGCATTCTATTGCATTTTAAAGATCATTTTTACAAATATTACGTTCATTTTGTGTATTCAAACCAATTTTTGTTTATTTTAAGTTTATTTTGAGTTTCTTTAATACGTGTTATAAAGGTAATCTCAATTAGTACCTATATAGTACCCTTATAGAAATAGTCCTTCTGCACTTAGATCGACAGCATTGAGCATACTATAATATTATCACTGTCATACACGTTTTCGATAAAATTATTGTCACTTGTCGGTGAATCGGGATAGTTGAAATTATATTTAAAAATAATATTAAAAATATTTTAAAACATATATTCGTCACAAACTGAGTTGTCGTCGAATTGGGATTTGGCAAAATGGGTGTGAATCGAAAAGTAATATGATTAATTCAACTCACAAGTCAACTCAAATTAGAATTAATATGTTTAATTTACTTCTTACAACAAATTTTTACCTTTTTTGTGTAATATAAAAATTGAATAAATATTAATTAATATTTAATAATAATATTAATTTTAAAATTAAGTTTTTTTCGGTCATCTAGGTACATTTTTTGGTCATTTTTAAGTTAATTTTTTAGAGTTTTTGGGTCATTTTTGCATATTTTTTTTTAGTACATTTTTGTGTATTTTTTAGGTCATTAAAATCTTAACTCTTATTATAACCATGAGCTGTTTTCAATTTTTATCATTTTTTTAAACTACCTATTAATGTTTACAAGTATGTTATGATGACACACAACTTCTCAGCTCGGAATCGTTTTTATATGCAATTATTGATCATTGAATTTAAATAAAACACATCCATTACAACGACATGCTCGTCGATTACTGTGCAGCAGAGTGGGACCACCTTTTTTTTTTTTAACAGTTAGATAATAATTACTCGTTTCGGCCTTGACTTATTATATTTTTTTCAATTCGGGTGTCACTCGTGGGCTCTACGTAATCGTAGGATTTATTCAAACGAAGTATTCTTTTTTTTAATGACGATCTCACATGTACTTATCTATTATAAATGGCTCATAGGGAGAAATCGAAATTGAAACCATAAGTAGTGCAAGTGAATAAATCAAAAAAAAAAAAAATTTAAATCATAAAACAATCAAATCGACAGTGCAGGTACATCGATATATAAATCGTCAAATTATAAAATCAATATGTGATTTTTAATTTAAAAATCAGAAAAAACTAAAACCGATAAGCAAAACTCTACTTAATATCGTAAAAATGTGATTCGATCTCAAAGCCCTGAAACCATTACAGTGGCCCACACGACCTCTCATGTACGACAAAGCGGTACCCCGCACTTGCCCCTCTTTTATTTAGGATCGTTCATCAGAAACGTGTCTTTTGAAAGTTTGTAATGATTAGTAAAATGCTCCCAGTCGGTGTCTTGAAGGATTATTAAAAAAAAAAAAAAAACACTCTGACAGACGTGTGTCGGGTGGCCAGTAAGCTCATGTTTTGGGGCCGGATTCAAATGCCATAAAAACTATTCAACAATGCGTTTCAATCGCAATAACGTATACTTAAACGAGACTGGAACGTTTTTTTTTTTGAACAATTGTTTAGCAAACGGATATATAGGCACAAACTTTATGAAATAAACTCGATTACGTATATATATATATATATATATTATAAAACAATCGAAGTATTGAAATCATATACAAGAATGATCGGCAAAAAAATTATAAAAAATTCTCTAAAAAACGCAAAATAAAAGTTTAAGTTTTCAATAGTTCTCTCTGATGTACGAATCGGATTTCGTACTCGAAAAGCACTGCCCGGGACTTCCCGAAAAGAAGTGCATTTCGCGTTCAATTCCCGATCATATATTCTTATTGAACATTTACAACAACATCAACACCACCCATAATATTATGACTGGAGATTATTTTTAAGAATAATGTTTACCGCGACCCGCCCCTGTACAATCGTTTTTTAAAATTAATACGAATTCTCGGAATCGGATGAAGTCATTTTTTTTATCGCTCACTTCTCTTTTAGTTCGAGTGTCATAAACGATTATTTTTAACGCCGCTGCGCTCTCTGCGCATAACTGCAACTGGGCGGAACACACACACACACACACACACACACACACACAAGTACAACTACAATTGTAAAACAAAAAGCGAAATAAAAATGTACTCAAAACAACTAACGTCGCGTCGCACACTCATACACGCTTAACGTATAACAGCCGAGCATTAATACTAATAATTCAAAACGAGAGCCAAAAGTTGTTTAAGTCACCCCCGACTCGGTAGCCGCGACTATGACACCGGAAACGAATATATAATATGCGTACAAATTACAAGTACGCGATTTCGCGCGACTTGATGTTACGCCGCGGAGTTGGACCGGAAGTCATAATATATTATGATCGCTTTGGACTGTCCGTGTGCAGCCCCGCTGTTTCTGCGACACAATGGAATGTGAGATGTAACGACAAAATATAATCAGAAATCGAGAAGTGTTTTTGGTGAGCGTACAAACTTTTTTCGTGCCGTTCGTGGTCGTGGTCGTAATTTAATTTTTTAATCAGACACTTTTCGATCTAGTCTGGTAATCGCTTGTTTTCGCTCCAGCCGCGTTTCCAGAATACAACGTTATAATAATGTTTGAGAAAATGCCCTCTCCGAAGAACATTTTTTAAATTTAAAAAAAAAACATTGAACGAACGGCATGATAACCGCGGGGACGTGTCTTTTTTATGTAACCAATAAAATGCTGTGACCATATGACGTACTCGCGCCGTTATCTAACCAGAGTAACGTTAAAGATTTTTTTAGAACTCACAATACGTGCTTTATCTTTAAAAAATAAATACCTTTTCGCGTAAAAAAAGGATTAAGTCGCCATTTAAAAAAAAAAAAAAACAATCAAGCACAAAATGAAATAAAAATGTAAATCCACGTTTTAAATATTTTTCTTGGGCGAAAAACTTAACGAATGTCACTGTAGTAATAATGTTATTAATAAGTGGCGGATGGTTGCGGAAAGGCCAAGCGACGTAACCGCCAAAAATGCAATTTTACAGGACGAGACGGGAGAGCCCAACGTTTTAGTAGTTTGGTCCCAAAATTGTGCTAAGGAGATAAAACCTGATTGGTGAATCGTATAGTTGAACATATATTTTAATAAACTATTATTATGTACGCGGTCAAAAGTGGAAAGTGATTTTTTAAATTAGTCGTTATGCTTTGGGCTGCATCCGAATTGAGTCACAAAACTAAAAAAAACCTGGCACGGTTAACATTTTTTCTAATTAAATTTAAACCAGTAAATAGTTGTCAAAGCATTAATATCATTCGTAGCAAGCTCAATGTTACGTATAACTATTCATAAGTTCATATTATGGTCTTTCACAGAATATATTGTCTTTGGCCTTTTTTTTAATTCATTGTTTGACATTGTTTTTTTAATAATTTAATAATATCGTCTTTCTAGTTTAGTGAGCCGAAACTTAAATGGAATAATATGTGTTATACAAGTCGAGACTCGACTAGAACAGTTTCCAAATTGTGTTTTTTTAGGACTAAATTCATAAATGTACTGATGCTTCAAAGTTGAGGGTCGCATTATTTTACTGGGATTGATATTTGAGACTGTGGGTTAAGTTTTGAGTTTTTCATTTACATTACGAAATAATGGTCGGTTACAACTAGGGTTACATTAATCGGCCAGAAACGTTTACAATTATTGTGAGATACGTAGTGCACAACTGGCTAAATTGAATTAAAAGAAGAAAATTAATGTCTTATAAATGTTAAATTAATGATGCGTGCGAAATACAATATCGATTTAAAAAGGTTATATTTCTAAATAAATTAAAAAATTACCAAGTCTGGCGAAATATAGTATCAATATAGTAATAAAAAGATTTAGACCACACCATCTGAATATAATATATAGCGCACTCTTCTTCTATAGTTTAAAAAAATTATTTAATTTTATAGCCGCCACTACTAATCACAAAATCTACTCGATTTTAATGATAATTTATTTTCGCTAACAAAACCAAAACCAAAACGTTTTTCTTTCGTGTTTCTCGTATACAAGTAGTTATCATAGTTCGTTGGCGACTGTAAGTGGCCAATTTTCAAGAGCGAATGACATGCTCGAAAATATATTTATAAGTGGAACCTTCATCGTGTATTCAAATGGGTGATGCGGAACTTAAAAATGCTGTCAGGAACCGAGTATATTTACATAGTTGTGGACGAAAACTAATTCTGTGGGATATTCTATCCGTCATGTAGGTAATATTATAATTATATTCTACGGCCTGTGATTCTCTCAACGGAGACAAAATTCGTTGTTTTCGGAGAGTTTAAACTTTTGACTTTTCAATGAAAATATTATTTATTATAATACACTTCTGACCCAGAAGCAGAATAACTATCTGAAAAATACATCGATGAATAAAAAAATTTCGACAAGTTTTTTTGTGTGCAGATACTTAATTTTGGGTTTCGGAAGGTCGAAGTGCCTAAACTCAAAACGCTCAAACCCATAGAATATTATTATTGTAAAAAAAAAACTTTACATTCGAGGAATATAGCTGTTGCTATTGCGATCGATATTCTACAGAGACGCGATACATTATAAATTAACAATAACAACATTATAACGCCCTGCAACCTCTGTGCACACTCGTTGTGAACCACCTGTCACGCGCGGTCGTAATATAAGCCGACTCAGACTTCTTTTCCTCCCTACTTTAAGCGAACCACGCGTTCGCGTTTCCATAATATATCGTATTATATTTTACACTTGACATTGTATCACGTTATTCCGGACGCAAAGTGCAAATCTGTAAGTATCGCAACGACATCGCAATGTCGTCATACGTCGGGTATGCGACGTGTAGTAATTGTATGAAAATAAGTATACAAATAAATATGAGAGAGAAGAATGAAGCATGCGATATAAAAATACGTAGAGCCGCGAATACACAATGACAGGAAACGGCGGTAGTTAATGTCACGGAAGTAACTGCCACGAAACTTAACTGTCGTCGTGCAAACGATATTCGACAACAATGAATTATTATATAGTGGGCATTAGCTGTGAACTTTGACGGCAGTACATCCAGCACTAGCACACACGGTTCACAGTCTAGATCAGTGCTTCTCAACGTTGTTTGTCAACAGCACTCCTACCCCCCCCCCTAAAATGAATGGAAAATTGGCTAGCCCCCTCTCGCCTGCACCCGAAAGTTAAAAAAAAATTTTGTTTTCGAAAAGTTACCATCATACATTCACCCGAGCAAAAAAGGTGTTCACCGAGGAAAAAGTTGCCAACATTAAGCAAAACCAGTATGATGTGGTATGATATTTTTTACCATAAAAATCGTCAAAATAATAGAAAATAATTTTTTTCTTAACTGTACATGTTTATTATAGTCGATAAAGTCTAAAGCGAAATAAACTTCTAAGATGTAATGATAATTGTATTATTATTATTAAATAACAGGCCATTGCGTTTTGGCAATTTAAAATAATTATTGTTTTTTTTTTAATAAGGCCTTATTACTAGTTACCTTACTAGTCAAAACAAAATAAATAATATACTGATCCGAAGGTCTCTGGAGAGCTGAGTTTGAGAAGCACTAACCTAGATAGTTGACGTTTACTATCAAGACGGTAGTGCTACCATGACAGTACTGTCGTCGTGTAAACGGGCCTTCATTTTATCAGGGCTGGGAATGTAATGCCCTAATAAAAATCCAAAAAAATAGTCATAAAAATTGCCTTTATTCCCCGGACATTTTGAAAAATAAACTTAATTTTTTAGTTTTTAAGCAATTTTTGAACCAAAAAATAATTTTTAATTGAATTTAATAACTGAAATTTTGCAGGAACCCACAACTTCTACGATTTTCTTGGACTTGGACTTTTAATCTGAAAATAAAAATTATATCGTCATTTGATCTCCCGTCGCCACAAGTAATCTTGATTTTTACGTCGTACATATGTTCATATGTTCAATACGTTCAACAAAATCACGGCTAATAATATTCGATTGAATCAAATGCTCTCATTGGCACTTGGCAAAGTAATATTTTTTTAATCAAAAATCTCGGTATAAAATGTTTAAAAAAACCGAATTTTAGTGTTAAACACCATAAAAATAATCAAATAGGTGATAAGAAGGAAATAGTTTTCTACTCGCCACAATAAAACATAATCATTATTATAGTGCAGTGTTGTAGCGATGAACCACATGTGGATTTTGGAGTACATAGGAATATATTAGATCAACAAGTACTATGTGGGAAACATGCAACACTCGCCACTAATCCGGATTCGTCATCGCTATATAGATATATAGTCAATCAATCAAATCATTAGCGTTAGCGAATAATCGTACATAAATTATAAGAAAAATAATATTATACACAATTATAAAATAAAATAAAAATCTAAGAAACATGATTAAGTACTTTAAAAACAAATAATATTTTACACATTTAAATATAAGACCAACAAACATCGTTATATGCGGATTTCACTAAGAAATATTTAATTCTGAAAAAAGCGTATCAGTTATGATTTTTTTGTCATTCAATAAGCCATAATGAATTGTTCTTTTTTGATAAAGTTGGCAACTTTTAAAATAACGTTTGGTAATTTTTTACAGTCGTATGCCAATTAAGTGCGGTGTATGTTATTCGGTCATTTCTGGTACTTTTTGGTCACGACGTCAGCAGCGATATCCCTATATAATTACTGCTAATGAACTACTGTTCCGAAATTCGTCATTTAATTCTTCACAGCACGACTTATACCATAATACGTCATTCACACCTACGACGCCGATATCGTCCCTATTCGAGTCTTCGCGGACTTTTTTTCAAATAATTATATTTTTTCACATAATTCGCTGAGTGTGCCTAAGTGTAGTTGCAAAGCGGCAGATGATTTTTATCGTATTATCAATAATAATTCGTAAAATATTATTGTACTACAACTATATACACAGTGTTGTAACCAGGGTTCGAGACTCAATGGTTATTTTTATGAATCGACTTAAAACGTAGCAGGTCACTATGGAAGTGTAGTCGTGTTACAACACGTTCAATTATGAAAATTGAAAGTGGTTTTTTTTTTACTTTTTTCAGCGATTTTTAAAAAAATGCTAATTTCCGGTTTTTATGATTTTTTTTTGATTTTTTTCATCAGTTTTTCTAGTTTTTTTTTATGGTTTTCTCCTGCGCAAAGTCGTTGTCGATGGAATTGAAATCAAAAATAATTCTCATCTCATCTGCGTTGTCGCGTATTTAATTGATTAATCATTTTTTTTTTCAATTATTTGTAATTATCGTTTACATTTTTTTTTTTTTTTCATTCATGGTACAGCGTCAACTGCTAAGGTTAGGTTAGCTTGCAACAAAAATTCGTAATTAGAACATAATAGAGTATAGTTATATACAATAGATTCTTAAATTAAATTATACCTACATATCAATTTGTTTTAAAAATATGATTATTTTGTTGGTGTTGTCATGGATAGGGCTGAGGGCTTCAAAGAAGTCGTCGGGCAATCTTAGACTTTTTCTGGTATCTATATGGATACGGCAGTGGATAAGGAGTTGCTTGACTGTGAGAGGTTCTCCGCTGCAGGTTGGGCACATTTCTGGTTCTCCGTTTACATACTTAAAATCTCGAAAGCGGAGGTTAATTCGCTTGAATTCGATATTTTTTTGAACGCTCTCGTTCGAGTGCTCGCGACGACGTTTTTTCAACGCTTTTCCAAGCGCTTATTCGGACGGTTTCAAGCGCTAACCTAACCTAACCGGACTCGCAACGAATCAACAAGCGGACGACCGTGTCGCGTACGGGAACACGTTCGCGTGACATTATCGTTGAGGTAGGAAACGCGCTCGACGAATCCGAATCCGTTATCACGCCGGCGGCGGCGGGAGGGGGGTGGNNNNGCGGCGGCTCTGATAACGGTCGGCGGCCGAGCAGCTGCAGTACGATGATCGCGGCCGTGGCGTTGGGACTGCTTCAAGCGGCTGCGGCGATGGCGGCGGCGGCCGTTCCCGGCGAGTTCCGGTTGACCGTCTTGCACACCAACGACTTGCACTCGAACTACGACGAGACTTGCCGCGACCACGCCGACCGCGGCGGCCCGTGCGGCGCGGCCGGCGGCTACGGCGGTTTCGCCCGGTTGCGCGGCGCGCTGGACGCCGAACGGGCCGGGGTGGCCGCGGACGGCGCCCCGTCGTCGGCCGTCGTCCACCTGTACGCCGGTGACACGTTCCAGGGCACGCGGTTCTACGACGTGCTCGGCTGGCAGCCGGCCGCCGAACTGGTCGGCGATCTCGGCGTGGACGCCATGGTACGTGTCACTATAACCGGAAGTACAATATATTAATATTGTATATTTAATAATACGTTTAGGACTTTAGCGTTTAGGCATTTTTAGTCGATGAAAAACACCAAGATATGCACGAAAAAATGTATTACGATTCCGAAAATATCATATTTTTCCTACCCGGTAGTTATTTTTGTACATTATTTTTTTTTACTACAATTTAAAATACATTTTTTCAAACGTGCACGGTGTTTTATTTACTTTAATTTATATTGTTATTTATTATTTATTACATTATTTGCGTTACACTGTGCTACCATGGTTTTTTTCATTTGCTCAAATTTGTAACTGCAACTTGAAATTCGTACCTAAGTTTTAAATCCTTTATTTTTTTCAATTACGTTCTGAAATTTGCCGTAAATTTCTTTTCCTACGTTTCCATTAGCCATGTTGAGGGTTTTTCTCTTGTATTGTTGACGACTTCAATTTATCCGAACAAAGTCAATCCTAATGGTTCTGATTTAGTTATGTTGACTGGTAACATTTTGTAGTTCGTTAAATTAAATTGTTTTTTAAAAAAATGTAATAAAATAAGCAATTTTGTTTTTAAAATCCCAAAATATCCAATCAAAATACAAATTAATTAATTAATTAATAATAATAGTTAAAAGTCAAGGCAACACTACGCATGCCGACTGGACTTACCGGTTCGGCGTTTTAGTCGAATCGAGTTTAACTTGACTCGTTGGCCTCTCTGTCAAGTTAAAATATTAATCCATTGCGTTTTGGTTATTCCGAATCAAATTAATTTTGAACGATCATATCTTCATCCAGAATAATATTTTAATATTTTTCACGGTCACACGTGGCTGAGCATCAACGAGTTAAGAACTGTGGAGTTAAGTCGATTTCGACACTTTTCTTGACTAACCGGTTTGGTGTTTTAGTTCACTAAACTTTAACTCCACTCTTTTTGCTCCTCAAATGTAACCTATTGTTTTTTTTTTTTTTTAATTATTCTTAATCAAATTAATTTTCAATTTCCAAATCATCCAGAAACATATTTTGCCGATTACCGTGTCACATGTCTGTGCATCGACGAGTTAATAACTTAAAAGTTAAGTTAATTTCATAACACGCATCTTATTGCAGTTAGTAGGTTAAATTTATTTAAAATTATTTTCGATTAAAAATAAACGTATGCATATATTTTTTAATATTTTCAATCAAGTTTTTAATTTTGAATATTCATATTACCCAGAAAAACATTTTGTTCGTAACCGTTTATACAATTATAAGGTCGTGAAATAGTACCTATAAGAACATATTATAACGAGCTAATTAAGAAAAATGTTGTATTTACATTTATATCAGTACAGACGACAATTAAATTATCATTTTTATTGTGTAGATATATTTACTTTTTTATCAGTTAATAGAAAATTTCTAAGAGGCAACAACGTTTTTCTTTTTAGTTACATGACAGTGTGCCCTCAATTACATTCATAATTACCTACTGATTTGCTATTCATATGTAAATCATGAATCTCATCCACTTCAATTTATATCGGATGATTCTTTTATCATTGAACACTCATCATTCCAAAAACAAAAAATGTTTTTGAAAACAAAAATGTTGAACCTCGTGGCTTCTTTTTTTGTTACAAAACAACATTTTAATATTTTTTATCCTCGACATTTTTTATGCTTTTTTATTTTTTTGAATGACAACATTAAGAATACGGTTTTAATTTCACATATCAGAGATGGATACTTTTTAAGTATTTCGATCCTTAAAAATCGAAGTACAACAAGGAGTCTACGAATTAAGAGCATACAAATTTGACTGAACAGAGTAGAGTGGTAAGTGGTTACCCCGCAATTTGTGTTTCACTACTCTGTTCACCTAATCTTTAAATAATTATAACTCATAAGCTACTCATTCTAAATTTGATTTTTATATTATTTTGTCAATACTTCAAACAATGTAAAAAAAAAAATGTTTTCAAAAACATTAATACTTTTTGAATAACGGGTGTCCCGAACGAATCACCAAGTATATTATTATTGTTCATAATAATAAAATAATTAGGGTTATTGCACCGACAATTTTTTGAAAATTGATTGCATTATTGCAGGAAATAATAATACACAAAATGGCACTTAAAAATTTCATTAAAAATGAATTTATTTTCAATGGAAAGTGATAATCGGTACAGTTAAAAATAATATATTACAAAATAAAAATTCCAATTAAACTGATTTTTATCCGGTGTTTCAGGATCCTTGCAATCAATATATGTATATTATAATTGCGATTCAGCGGTAAATGATTTTTTTGGGTTATCAAACTCGAAACATCTCTCATTAGAATACACCGAGTTCAAATAAACAGAAAAATTGCTCTCCTCGTTTTTAACGATATATTTTCGATCTGCAGATACTGAAATGTCACATAATTCACAATAAAAGACCGACCCGTCGCTCGAAAATACATTTTCTCTATGCTCACCAAAAATGTTGGGGTTATACGCTAGTCACAAACTGCCCGGATTTCGGCATTTTAAATGTAAATACGAATAATATTATAAAATCGACGAACAGCAAACGCAATGCAATGGAATACGCAACGGAACTGTACCATAATAATTCTTCATAAGTTTTACAAGCTTAAATTTCGTTACCATTATTTACTTATTTGTATGATAATTGGTACTCACATCTTACAACGATACACACGGGCAATACTTATGCAATATTGTTTTTGATTTGTTTGCACGCGACTCTCGCCACGAGCCAAATAAATTCGTCATCACTACAGTTAATCAGTTATCATTTATAATGATTTAGAAGTAAATGTTGGGCAATATTTTTGCAGCTATATGCTAAATTGAACGTTCATTTTTTTTTTTGTTTATTTTTGGTCATTTTTCACAAGTAGTACGGACAGAAACTCCGATTATCCGGACTTAATGTCAAGGGTGGTCCGGATAAGCAAATATCCGGATGATTGACGTACGACATATCAAAAGTCATATAATTGTACGAATATATTGTACGTATGTATTTATTATTCACATATAATATGTAATATAGTTTAAAATTCGTAACCATAAACAAATGATTTCATTATATATTTAACCGAAACAAAATAATCGTTAGTTACTGCAGGTGTTCGATTCTTCTTGCCTCTCGGACCATTTAAACGCCAAATCCAATGCACCAAAAGCTTCAGAATTTTTAATGTACCTACGTCGGAATGACGGATATTATTGAGAATAATATATTATAATATCAATTCTTTATCTAATCTAAAAACGATTACGAGACACTTGCATGAATAACGGCCCGCACCGTTTTTTTTTCTCGTCCGATTAATTGGACGTCCAGCTGATTGGCGTTCGGATGATCGGACTTCTATTGTACTATGACCATCAACATCAGCAATTGTATCTGTTTTTACAACTCATAAAAAACTGGTCCAAAATGAGTCATTTAATTCAATATTATATTACGATATTATAACACCTACCATTTACACGTAATTTATAACCAATTATCATAATAATAATCGTAAACCTTGGTTCGTAGGTCATTCATTATCAATATAGATGTTCTGTGTGTAATCAATAACAATTTCTAATCGTCTATACAACAAAATACGCCTAAGAGAAAAAATATATGATTTTCATAATCTGATTGAAATATTTCAAGAAGAGTGAAATTTTCAATTTCGAAATACTTCAATTGAAAAATTTCCAATGATATATAATTATCGTTGCCTGTTCATTATTATTAGCAGTACAGTTATTTGGTATTTATTTTCACTACATATTGTACTTACCAGTTGTGGTTTCCTCGATCCGTTAGTTGTTACCAATAAACATTTATAATGTTACCATTGTTTATTTATTTATATGCAAATTGGTACTTCGTACTTGCATCTTATTGGACACATTCGTGCAGGACAATACTTATCCAAGATTTTCGTGCATCTTTTATTAGTTTTTATTTAACCGTATGCATTAGATATTCAGAAGACGAGTTGACAGTATTAGTTGATTCAATTGATAAGTGTAAAATGCCTAGTAATTTAATTTTTAAATTAGTCGAAAGAATAAAATATAGTTAAATTAACTTGACATAGGTAAAAAAAAAAAAGGCGGGTAAGTGGATGTCGCTCTGCTGTACATTAGATGTTTAGGAGATAGCTGTAATGGATGGTATTAAATTTGAATTCAATGATATCATATCATTCGATTCTGAGCGGAGACGGTACGTCAGTCTAGGATATTTTATATTGTGTTTAGGTACTTATTGTTAACACGGTAGCCGTCAGGTTGAATATTAATATTATTCTTGAATTCGCAGTGATGCTGGAAAAATATTAAATATAAATATGTAAAATTCAGCTGTTTTGGAACCAAATCACAATAAAATTATAAACGTTATTTTTGTGTTAATATTCAATTTTTTCCAAACTTGAACTTAAAATGTCTATAAAAAATAACTGTATTCATATATTTTTTAGATTTCTTAGTCACGGAAAAAACAGTTTTAGTGGAACCTTGTTTTGAATTTTCAATTCTTAGCTATAAAAATTTAAAATTTAAAAAATTTTCAATTTGATAAATATTGTCAAAATAACAATTTCAAACGCTCATAAAAATTTGATTAGACTTTTCAGCTGAAATTTTGTTCGTTAAAGGTAGGCAAACTTATAAGGAATCTAAAAAATTTAACGAATTTCTAACTAAATATAATTTGCTAATTTTAGTGTTTTTTAAAAATTTTGTCAAAATTCTTAGTTTAAACGCTTATAAAAAATTATTATAAATTTACACTCAACTTTTTTTTTAATTTCCAATAACAATAACTTACGAGGGACATTGTATTAAATTTACAAATTTTTCGACCAAGCAAACATTTTTTAGCTAGTAGGTTTGAAAAAAAAACAAATAAAAATCGAAAATTGTATAATATGCCTGTTAATAGTTCAACACAAGTCAAAATATTTTGAATATTTTATGGTGTAAAGAAAACTCGAACACTAGCGTTACACAAAAAACAAAATCGATTTTTTCAAAACCTGGTTTAGCGTAAAAATTCCCGTTTTTCCTTGAGTTTTCGTTTGTTTTTCATGTCGCTCTTGAAAACCATTGGGAATTTTAAATTTTGACCTCCCGAGTGCACCTGCTAGATTCGCTTTCTTGCCGGAAAAGTCGCCGTTTAAAAAAATCGAAGCACTTTTACTGTAAGAAACCGTGATGACATAGACACAACAAAATAAATAAACATAAAAACACACATCGTTGCAAAATCAATACATTCATCGCTCCGCTCAGAATCTAAAATCAATCAACTTGCTCAGCGCAGGATCATAGATTAACTTTCGTGCTCTAGCACATCACAAACATAATGTTTTTCAAATGATAACATTATTTGCAATGTACAAAAGTATATGCGTCACAAAGTACTTATTGACAATGCGAAGCAGCCTTGAAATCAGGCTTCGGACACGTGCGACCGGTCTGAGGATTATCATTTGTCATAGTAAATTAATAACAAAGTTAATTTATGTATTGTAAACAATTCAAAATCGTCATCCGGGTATTTTAATAAAATACAAATTATTACTATCAGAGGAAACACGTGCCGCGTGCTGTCGTATTATTATAATATGTTCTACACTTCATTTATCAATATTATAATTATCACGGGTCTCGACGAAACTGTGCGCAAACGGTAAGAGTCAAAGTTTGGTGGTTTTCTTTCGGGTTACGCGGGTGGCAAAAAAAAAAAATTTAGTTTCGAAAAATTCAACGCGGTTTTGCCAATTAGGTGGAAACGAGCGTCTGGGATTTTTCACGGCCCCCTGTTTCTCACCGTCCGTGGCCCCCTCTTTCCCCACTCAATCTATAGGTCTTTACTTTTAGTACGCGATGCGTCGCAATCGGAGCTCGAAGTCGTACAGTGTGATTCGCCAATCACACTCACCTTTTTAGTGGTTTTCTTCGATGCAGCAGGTGTTCAAACTTCGATTGCTGGAATTTTCAAACACGCTCAAAAACCATAATATTTTCTAGTCGTTTAGATTTCTTCGCAAGGCTCGTCCTGTCACCCGTGGAAAACAGACTTCTGACTATCATCGCTTTTCTGCTGCAAATTATTCGGCGGATGGTAACATTCAAAGTGTGCGTGTTTTCGAATTGAAAGACAAAAATATAAAGGCCATGGGGTATATAATTATTATAGTCTTGGGGATGATATTTTAGGCAACGGCTTAGGTCATTAACGTATATATTACCTATTGCACACGTAATGATTATTAAATAACTTTTTAAAATAATGAAGTATGCAATTTTCGTAGTTTATTGAAACTCGTTAAACCATAGTATCCATACTGGGAACCTATATCAATTGAATTGCATCGTTGTTCCCAGGACTCACGAAAACTCCAATAGATGACCTTCTTTTTCTTACGTCGTTTGCTATTTATTTTTAATCGACTCCCTTCGAATTTGCACCATATTGTCTAAACTTCAAAAACATTAAATGATATGCCTTTGAAAATGGCTACTGCAACAATAGCTGCCAATTGCACATTGTTGTGTCAGGCATCACTGACCATAAAATATTATTCCTTTACTTTAAATATTTATATTGTATTTATTTAATAATTTAGTATGTGATCTCTGTCTTTATTTAATTTCCCGTTGATTTTGCCGTGTAAGAAACGACCACATTGCAATAATTGTGTCAGACATAAGGTTTCACAGAGCCCCCGCATGAACCTGTTCATTGGGACCTATTAGATTTTTAAAATGAAAATTAAATTAAATAAAAATTCCCATTAGTAATTTTTAAACAACTTTTAAAATAGTGAAGTGTGTGCAATTTGGGTAGTTTCGTCGAATAAAATTCGTTTATTACGGAATAATCATTGATGAAGTATTTAGCCGCATCGGTTTGAAAAAAAAAATAACGTCCATCGGCTTTCTGAATGGAATTTCTTAAAATAAATAATGAATATATATAATTATGTAATAAATATTACAGGGTGTCAACGAAAGACCCGACAAATGACAAATTCATACTAGTTTGAAAAATACGTGGACAATCAATAATGTATGATTTACTTATGTCTGAACTTCTGAAAAATAATATTTTTTAAAAACTCATTACGTTTCGAATGAATTTACTCTACAAAAATTATCGATGTTTTAAAACATTAATGAAAATAAATTTCACGTTTTTATCGTCAAACATTTTCTAAGAATTAGATTTGCAAAGTTGGCTCATTTGCATTTTTCCAAAAAAATTGTAATACAATTCAAATGTATTATTTTTAGTATTTAAAAATAAAAAAAATTAAAATGTACCTACTTCAAAGTTTTAAATATTGTTTAGAAAAAAAGTTATTTAATTTGTCCGGTCATTCTGTTACGTCGTGCGTACTTAGGTACAACTAAAAATCGACTTATAAAGCATATTTAATTAGATATTCAAAATTGTAATATTTGTAGATACAATGCATTGTCTATTATCGTGTAAACATTTTTACCAACATTTTCACTCGAGTAAGTGTCTTCTGTTGTTAGTATATACAATTAAACCTCTTAAATTTAAAAACTCAATATTTTCATTATATTTCTATTTCTCATGAAGATGAGTTCATATTTAATGAAACCTTCATAGAATATGACTTTCGTGATGTTTTAAAACCTTACTAAATATTTGATGCCGAAAGTTGGACTGTGCAGGGTGTAACAGAAAGACCTAATAAAAAAAAAAAAAATAAAAAAAAATCGATGTTTTATTTTTAATCGCGTGTCAAAAGCTAGGAAAATTATTACCTATTTCGGGAAACCCGCAAAACGAATATTTTGAAAAAAGTCGTATCGTTTCGAATAAATTTATACTCCGAAAAATATTGCCGACAAACAAACTGTTCGACTTAGAAAATGATGGGTGTACGTTATGCAAACGCTTTAAAAAAACAAAAAATGTTTAAAACACACATCGATTTGAACAAAAGTCATTTCGACTTTCTCGTCTGGCGTTACGCTCCTCCGCGCAGACACGTCGTTCGAAACGGTTTCGGAACGTTCGCACGGAAATGACGATGACATTTTTTCCGCTACCGGCTGTACACGACCGTCTATGGGGTGGGGGGGGGAGGGGGGTGAGAGGTTTTGTGCTGCGAGTGGGTTGTATACACGTACAAAGTATAACACATAGTATAATACATAATATCGTACACACTATGTATGCGGAGCGGTGCACTGCGGGTCTCACGATATTACACTACACGTAATGCGCGTTGGCATTTTCGCATTTATTTTTCGATTAACCTTTTCTGGGCTCGATGCGATTCCGCGAATCGGAAATCCAATACGCGTTGCATCGCAGACGAGCTTTTCGGATATATCGGAAAACGAAAAAACGAGCGTTGGCCGGTTACACGATATAAGTAACGTTTTGCGTTATTAAGCGCGGGCTTCTGGCTGGCACTCGCGGACGCGCGTCTCGGAGAAAATCTCCGAGGTTTTCGGTCGGACAGAGCTTCCGGGCTCGGTATTTGGAATTTATATAGCGTGCGATGCCACAGCGGACGTCCGCCGACGCGAATAAGCTCGCCCGTATGTCATTATGGACGTGTCCCTTGAATTTTGGTCGCTTAATATCTTTTTTCTCATTCGGGATGATCGATAGACGCAGTTAAAACCGGGATCACTTCACGCGGTGATTGTTCCGCTCACTCCCGTTTGTTCCCTCGAACAGTACGTGTTTTATTCGAATTCTGTTTGGGCATTTTTTTTTTTTTTTTTTTGACGTTTTTAAGGCATTTTTAAATTTTTTAGGACATTTTTCACCTATATTTATACGAGCACTAGGTATACATAGTAGTATAGTACTATGTATTGTAAACATTGCTGTGAATTTAATGCACTTAAAAACTATTAAATATGCATGCATATATGCACTATAATCTGACAAAATATACTGTAAAAATTCTCAAAATATGAAAAAAAAAAAAAAAACTACAAAAGTTAAACTTTTATTTTTATTTTTTTCATTAGTATAATTTTTTTTATTAATTTTAGTTTAAATATTAGTATTTTTACTTATTGGTATAAGTATACGAGTTATCTATTGATCTTAACTAGTCTTGGTCTTCGTCGTATACAAGATCTATAAAAGAAGTATAAATTATATAATTAAATATAATTAAAATTATATATTTTACCTTCAAAGTAGTTATTGCATTGAACAACCAATGATTTCTTCAGGTTTTCGAACTTGAAAGACCTCCTGTTTGGTGCCAACAAAGTTTTACATAAAGAAAAGGAGCGTTCTACGTCTGACGAAGTTATTGGGGAAAACTTGAAATACGTCATGTCGCTACTAGTTAAATCTTCTGGTATATCGAAATCTACTTCATTTTTATCGCCATGCCAGTTAATATTTTTAAACCCTTTGTTTTTGTTGAGTACTGTTTGTAAAAATAGAAAAATTTCGATAAAACTATAAAAATTATAGTTTATACTATAAGATTGACCGAAAAAATGTAAATATTACGAAAAAAAAGCATTTAAACAAAAAAATTATTATTAAAACATGCATTTTATATGCCCTAACCCATGAAATATGCAAAAATATGCAAAATAAAATTTGGTATTTGAACTACAAATAAGTCAAAACAAATTTTGGCCGTATCCGTTTTATATAATAAAGTGTAGCAAAAAAAAAAACATGCAAATGCATTAAATTCACAGCCCTGGTTATAAACTACTTTCGTGTTGAACTATTTTAACTCATCTACCATCAGGTAATTCAGTTTTAAATTAGACGAGGCTGAAATTTATCTTTATGTCACACCAGCCCGGAAAAATATTGTTATTAAATACCGATGTTTTGAAAAAGCCAGCCATATTATCGGTACAGTCACGAAATTATTTGATAGATCTCTTTCGATTTTGTGGCCATCAGGAATAAAACATGACATGTTATTACTTTTTTTGAGTGACGCAGCTCAAAATCCAAGGCTGGACAATCTTTAAGTTCCCTGTATTCTAAAATGATACATGTCACTTGTTCGGCGCATCGAGTATCGGAAGAAATCCGGGGTCAATTTTCAACTGAATTTAATCTTTAACTCATTTTTTAATTTAATTTTTTTTTTTTGTACAGTGTTATGCAAATATTATTTCATTTTTTACTCATTTTTTAATAATTATTTGAATTTATTTAATAAAGAATGCATTTTTGAAAGATCTTTTTTTGATATTTTTAGGGCATTTAAGTCCGAGCCCTTGTAATCGCCAACATTTTCAAATTGTCTAAGCCCCTATTTGTCTAACCCATTACCTTAGACAATATATATCCTTAAAACACAAAGTTACACAACTCAAAAATAACTAGCTCAAATTTTGATTTAAATACATCAAAATCCTAAAAAAAAAATTTTCTTCATAAATAATAATTAAAAATTAAAAAGGGAAGTTAATATTTGAAAAAATTAAGTTTTCACTGTCGCAGGATCATCCTTAATAGTGGTACAAAAATGTCAATGACTCGAGAAATGGTCTTCAAATGTATTTAAAAATTATAAAAATCTGAATTTTTATACATGCTTGAAAAATTACCGTTTATATAATATAACGTGTAATAACCATTCATATAAAAAAAGTAACAATTTCTACTAATTTGGCACTATAACTATCAATATAATAATGTATAATTTGCAAAAAAGGCAAACATTTACAGAAATATCCCATCGAAAAATGGCCTCTCAGTTTTCAACAAATTTTCCAATTTTCTTAGAGCATCTTTTCAACTTTTTATTTCGGTACAAACATTATAAAAAAATATGCTAAATCGGTGAAGCCGTCCTCGATTGATGCGCGTCTACAGTACTAATACTATAGTTAGCTGTCCCGACCGCCATTGACCGTGTCAAAGATTTGTTTTTAAAAATGTTATACCATCAAAATGTTATATCAGAGTTCCAAGTTTTTACTCCAGATACTCCTTCCCTTTCCCAATTCCTTTTAGCCGCTGTAACTATCTCAAAAATCGTCCTATTGTCCGTATGACGAAACTAGCCAATGAGGACCCACTATTCTTGAGTGCTTGGCACTAATATTATTGTCTGTTCGCTCTAAATTTAAATATTTTATACTTGTATTTTTATGTAACATTTTTCTTAGTCATTATGTCTGTTCGCTCTTTATCTTAATATTTTATAATTCTAGTTTTGTAATTTATGTAACTTTTTCCTAGTTATTATGCTTAGTATATTTCTATATAATTGGGCACGTCCGGTTTTTCAATAAATAAATAAATAAATAAATCATAATCATGATTATAATTCATAGTAGAAGGTACACGTTATCTGCTGAGCTTAAATTGTTTATGTTACACACTTGAAAAAAAAAATGCTAAAATTGACAACAAATTCCAGTGTTACGTTCTCTTAAGCTCTTATCACGGTTTTTGAAGAATGTCCATTCTGATTTCACCCATTCTATGCTTATACGAAAAATCCCATTTGAAGAAGGTCTTTCAGTTGTTCCAAATTTTTCAATTTTCCGTGCAACTTTTCCAATTTTTCTTTCCTCAAAAACCTCACTCTGAATATTTCATAAAATTTTTTTTTTAAAAATGAGACGGTTTGGACTGATTACTTTGAGAGGTATTTGAGTACTAGAGAAGCATTTGGTTAATTTTACTCGACAAAGTGTTCTCGATCACTATTGTACAAGCCTGCCCATACCAGCCATAAATTATTATACTGGTAATAAATTCGTAAAAAGTAAAGTACGTTCGTCAATTCATTTTTTTTTTTTTGCTGAAAAACCTTAAGGTTTTACTTGGAAATAAATGGGTACATTAAAAGTGGACCGGGAATATGACGGATTCCGACATTACTTCACTCTCGTTATTATATTTAGGTACACATATCTGTATATTATGTTGTTATAAAGGGTGGTTTTTCTATTTTTAACTTGACGATAAATCACTGTGTTCGGAAAAAACGGTTCTGAGCTGAGCTATCTTTATAACATATAACAATTAAGAACTATTTCGCCAAATATTTTTTTTAAACGTACTCAACTGTAGTTAATTTTAGTTTTCTTCTGATTGTAAGTACTTACTTTAAAGTGTAACCAATATATTTTATTGCTAATATTAATATTATTGCTAATTATTATCTATTTTTCAAATGTTAAAAAAAACAAAATGTATTTAATCAAAAATAATTTAAGATGACATACGTCAGTGCAAATCGACTTAATAAAAAAAAATTGTAAAAAAATGTTAATCATTAACGACTTTCAACCAAGGTTTAAGAATTAATATTTTAATGGTTGTACATTAAGTATAAATGGAATTACTTATAATAGTATCGGTTAATTTTTCACAAATCAATTGGATAATTATTGGCTAATATTTATTAGTGTCCAATACTGGCAATACTTACAATAAACCAAAATTCAAAAATATTCGTTTGCAGTAAGTTCAAGAAGAAAGCTTCACGCTTAAGTTTTTACATATAATATAAAATACATTTCATTTTTATTTTTCACATGAATTTATTAATATTTAAAAAACATGATTTTCGTGCAATCGTACAACCCTATTTACGAAATAAGCAGTTAGAACTTTTGAGTTGTAGTTAGTTAGTATTGACAGCTGGTTATGCGAGTACTCCATAGTGTTACAAAATAGATAAACAAATATTTCATTGAAACACTTGAAGATGTGTGAAATGTTCAAGTTTTAAATATTTCAAAGTAAAAAATTCAAGCCAACCCCAAAATATAATAACGCCCAAGTGCGATCTAAAATAGAATTATCAAACTTATAATATAAGTGTCGAGATCGCCGACTGTAAAACAATATTGTGAATCTGTAAATGAAGACAATAATTATTTCCGTTTTTAACTTTTGCGCACACAGTGTTTGGGAAACCACGAGTTCGAAGACGGTCCTGAAGTTCTGGCGCTGTTCCTCAAGTCCAAGAACATAAGTTCCATACCGATAGTCGTGGCGAACATCAACACCGAAGGGGAACCGAGCTTAACGAACATTCGGCCGTCCACGGTCCTGGAGGTCGGAGGGCACACCGTAGGCGTGATCGGTTACCTGACACCGGACACGGAAGTAAGCACCGCTCTATTGTTTCGTTTCTATATAATAATAATAATAACATAAAATGTTTATTTGCATTGTATACTGTTTCCGTACGGTACTATTAGGGTATCCGTTATTGTTGTGGGCACCTATAAGCTACGTATTTGATTTTACGATTGCGTCCGCTGTTAGCCATTAAAAAAAAAAAGAGGGCGGGTAATATGTTATGTATACATAATATTATACGCAGTCGTGTCTCGATGAATCGAATCTCAAGGGCGATAAAAACGATTTCGACTGGTGTATTTTTCGAGTTCTATGCCTTGAACACAACCCTAAAAAAAAACTTCAAGCTGCTAAACAACACCTTTGAGTAATCGAGGTTGTACAATTATCGAAACTCGACTGAATAATAAACACCGCGAATAGATAAATATGGCAAAGAAGCCAAAATTATCGTACTTCCAATATATTTTATAGAAATTCTGATTTATGTCCATCAGCAACTTAATCTGCCTCGATTGGCTCAAATCCGAATTTTTTTTATTTTATTTAATTTTCTTATATTTATTATTAAATTGTTTTCTGTTATGAAAATATTTACTATATCTGTATAGAAGACGATTAAAAAAGCATGCTTACTCTTTTTTTTCAATAATGCAGTTATTCAAAATCTGATTTTTTTGAAATTTTTTCCGAAATCATGTAAAAATGTACCAAAATCAAAATTCATACGATTATTATGAGAGTTATTTAACTTTGTGTTCTAAGAATAAAAAGTCCATATAATCTCATTAAGATTATAAAATATGGTAGCTATAGTGATTTGAAAATTTTAGTCATTAATATTAATGAATCGATAAAAACAATTTGTAAAAATGGCCCAAGTAAATACTAGATCCAATTTTATGTATATTTTATATTTATACAAAACCAGTTTTAAGAACTATTATCCTTAGTACAAACATTTTAATAACCAAGAAACTACACATTCGAATTTCGAATTTGGTACATCAACATTTTTAAAAAAAATTATCGACTTATTAATTCACAGTAAAATAGGAGGGTTCTCATTTGAAAAACAGTAGTTCGTATCACCACAGGACACTCCTTTAGTAGAACAAAAAAATTCAAGAACTTGAAAAACTTGGTCTAAAAATGTTAAAAAATTCCAAAAATCAGAACATCAATAATTTCAATATCGAATTAAAAAAGAGCATGTTCGGTGAATCACCCTGTATATTGTATGATTTAGCTTCTCAGCTATAAAAATAACCAAAAACATATAGCTGGGTACGACGTGATTCGTTGATTTTCTTTTTGGAGAAAAAATAGAATGCTAAATCTTTTAAACATTTTAAATCAACTTGCGTGCACACAATTATAAAACAATTATTGTTTCGGTACAAAGGGAAGTGGTAAGAGCTTATTCAATTTCATAGTATTGATTTATAACAAAACGAGCATAAGCAAATGGACGTCATCGGAACGCTCGAGGAGAATCCCCCTGTAAATCGCAATACCACGTGATTTATACATTATATAATATATATATATGTGTAATCGCTTCAATCGAACTTTTGCAGTTTCTAAACCAAGTGGGCAGAGTCCGGATAACCGACGAAGTTCAGAGCGTCAGAGCTGAAGTGGCCAAGTTGAAAAACGCCGGGGTGGAGTTCATAATAGCGCTGGGGCATTCGGGCCTCGAAATGGACAGGCGGGTGGCCAGAGAAGTGGACGGCGTGGACGCAGTCGTCGGAGGGCATTCGCATTCGTATCTGAACAGCGGTAAGTCCATCGCGATCGGCTAGGCAGAATAATCGATTTACTTGGGCGACGAGGAGCGAACAATAATAATTGAGGCAGCAGTAAATGTTGCAGGGTATGCTTTATATGCCCTTAAAAATGCACTTACTTTTTTTAACTTCAAACACGTTTTGAGCAATAGTTTTTTTTTTTTTTTTGAAACTGGTCTGCACTATTTCGACATTTCTAAGTGGACTTTCGATCTGAAAAATAAATTGTTCCTATTTAATTCGTCGTCGTCACTTGTCACCTCGATTTTGACCGATCGAAAATTTAAACGATTGTAATGTGATATGTACAATAATACATAATATTATGTACCTGTTGGCTCTTAGACCTTGTTAGGAAGTTATTATAGTTTGAGTAAAATTTTAAAATTCAATTTAAAAACCTAATGTGACTGTTGAATATCCTAAAAATCCTAAAATACTCTAAAGAAAGAAAAAAAAGTGTTCAAAAGGGTACCGCTCTGCTGTACAGTCGGTGTCGAGTGGACGCTTTATTTTTTCTGATGCTTTTGAAAACTACTCTGAATTTTCAATTTGCACTTCTCAAAAGCAACAACTAGATTCACTTTCCCGTCAAAAAAGATACTCGAGTTGAAATTCGAAGAGTTATTTCGACTACTAATCGTGTACACACGCATAAAAAACACACACACACACACACACACACACACACACAATGTAAGTTGACCTAAAATGACCTTAAAATCGAAAATTGTCAAAAATTGCACAGAATTGTTCACAATTAATTTTCTGTGACTATAGGTACCTGATTATAATTTAGATTTATCCTTCATACCGATCCGTTAGAAAATTTACGTTTGAAAAACTACAATATACTATTAGGTGAAAATCTCGTTGGCACGTTAAGAAAATCTTGAAATTTAATTTAAAAATCCAAACCGTAGTGATAAATATCCCTAAAAACGCTAAATACTATATAATAAATCAAAGACTACCTTTTAATTAGGTACCTAATGTAAAGTTTTCATTTTGATTCATAATATTACATGAAACGTTTATGAAATAAAATAAGAACTTCAAAAAACCATTGTGAAATGCATCGAAAACCCTGCTTACTCAGTACCTGGTAAATATAACTGCAAATAGGTATTAAAATATTATAGTTCAACAACAACAGACGATGAGAGGTTTTGGAATTTCAATGTTATAATTTCGTTTTGGACGTCTCGTATGTATATATATTATTATATATTGTGAAACTTTATCATGTTGTAGCAAGCAGGTGTATGACGAAATTACTTCGGTGAAGTTTTCACGAGATAAAATATTTCGTCTCTGTCAGCTACGTTTCGTAATAATATTAATAATATGGTCTGCTTGCTATTTTCGGTTAGACGTTTACTTGAAGTGCCGAAAACCGTGGAATAGAAATTCTAAACATGATTTTATTAATTCGACTTCCGATGGTATTTTGATTTTTCATGCATACGTATCGATAAAATTTATCGACTCACGCGTGTTCAAACAAAAAATAGAAAAAGTAATGTTATTTTATTTTTAGTGCATAATTAACTAATGCACTGACATATTATATCAATATTAAGAAATTAATGAATTGAAAAAAGCGTGGAAGTTGACGTAACTCTGTTATTCTTTGTGTCAATATGCAATTCAGTCAGTACCTACTACCTATTAAGGAATAATAAAAAAAAATGTTATATTACACGCACAGTGAAAGAGCCAACAAGTTATACATATTTAAAACAAAAAATAAAAAAATATTGATTACCTAGAACGAAATGTATTTATTTATTTCAAATATACGGACAATACGTCCTTTTGAAATATTACAACATGGTAGTGTATAGTGCAGTTACAAAATAAACACATTTAGTAGGTCATTTAATTTGTCAGGTTAGGTTATCTATTCTGTTACCCTTTGCATTCAATTAAAACGAGTTTAATAAATCATAATAATTAACTAATTATATCTGCGACTACGTCATATTGCGCGCATTAATGTTGTTGTACTATAATCGTTAATACATTTCGTTTATTTATTGATATGCGTTCAATCGGAATAATTACCGCCAATATAGTGCTTCTCAATGCAATATACAGCCCTCCGGATTTCATCACGAAATTATTACGGCACTCTGAGAGGGGTGCGAAAAATCTCAAGAATATTTGAAAATGCGGTCATCGAGTATATTGTTTGAAAATTCTAAAAAATCAGAATTCGAATGACAGCGAAGAAAATAAAGGGGGTGCGCTTGCTTTGCGAATCACCATGTATATCGTCCACAGCAGTGCTGTCGATGATGGTCACATCAAATATCGAACTCGTCGCCTAACTACACATGGATAATTGACTACAGTAGGTACCTTGGTCGCGAGTAAGTGCGCCGTTTTGAAACGTGGTAAAATGTTTTTTATGGTCCGCGTAGAAATAATATATTATTATGATAGTCGTATATAGGCGTTAAATGCGTTGTAATGCGAGAGTGTTAACGTTATAATATTATACAAGCGTCGTCGTCGTAAATTATTGTTAACGCGCTGCTCTCACTATAATATTATCATTATTATTGTTATTTATTATACGTTTTTACATATTATATTATAGGTGCCCACACCTTAACACGACCTCCTCCCGTAATGTACGGTTTCAGACGATATCGTGGATATATATGTGTCGTAAGCTGTATTTCGTTGAGACCGCGTATCCTATATATATACATGTGTGTGTGTGTGTGTGTGTGTGTGTGTTATATAGTGTTATAATAATATAATAGAATATGGAATACAGAGCCTCGGTGCCGCAGTTGTTTCCCGCCGGAGAACAACGAAATTATCGGAACCTCGGGCGCACAATGAAATAATATCACAAGAAAAGGTTAACAACCCTTATTATTATTATCCGCCCGGCGCGTTGTGCGGCGCACAAGGAGTGAATCGCATTCCGGTAGATCACCTGTTGCGTGTGCACGTATGTACACCCGTGTGTGTAGCACAACAGCTGTTTCTCGACACCACCCATCATCGTCGTTCTCGTAGATCTCTCTCTCTCTCTCTCTCTCTGGCGAGTGTGTGTGAAGAAAAAAGACGGGAAAAAACAGATCACATCGTCCATCAAAAATAAACGCGTAATATTATACCGTGTAATTTATAGCCATCGGTTTGGGACATTGAATATTCGTTATGAATAATAGTGTGTGCCGCAGATCACGGTTTTTTAATCGGACGTACGTCATTAATGACGTGTCTACCCAATAAAAAACCATGTTACGGGTTGCCGGCATTGAAGGTGTGGACACACACACAATATTATGTAATGTTAGTTTGAACTGACAACAGCTGCTGTCCAAGTGAAAATCTGCAATCGATCGATCGATCGACGGACCAATTCTCATTAGCAAACCTCAGACTAATATTACAAGTGCTAAAAGCTATACCGATTATTCAGAGCACCTCATCATTCTTCAATCTCAGTTTTATGCACCAAGACACGAGACCTTATAAGATATTATAATATGGGCGGCAATGTGCTCTTTGTCGTTGATCGTATACGCTAATCAGAGCTGCAAATAACAATGATAATCAATAATCTTGCCACTCGACCGAAATCACTACCGATATAAGTAAACTAGGTCGTTGTACCTATATAACTATACTTACCTGTATAACATAATATATTATTTACGTTATTTCTGATGTCAACATCACTTTTTCTCAACGAATACTGCACCGTATTCACCAAACGATGCGTTATCGCTGCCCCTTCTGACATCGATCACTTTGGATTAAAATGCCTTGTTTCGTTAAAAATTCCGTTTAAATGAAACGAAAATTCAACATTAACCAAAGTTTCTCGTGGATGCTCAACTCACAAACACCTCGTGGACTGCAACCGTGTCTAATGGGTAAACATTATTTTAACAAACACTTTTTGGCTAATATAACAGCCGCGGAAACGACTGCAGGACGTAGAAAATAATCTCTTCTTCAAATTAAATCCCTTCTTCGAATGGATTTTCATAGTTAAACGGCCAACTGGTGCTATGCAATGTGTAAAATTGCCACTTGTTGTTTAATGAAAAATATAATAATAATAATAACAATAATAATATGTTCCCAAGTATCTGGTATACCCTACTGACGTGTTGGCGGGCGTTTACAATAGCGAATGCTACCTTATAAAAATAAATATTTATTAATAAAAATAACTTAATCTCGTTGAAATGTTTAGTTTGTGCACAACGAATAACGCGTATGTTGTGTAAAATATTATTAAAATTCCCTATGACTGCTGTAGTAGGTACGATATACTCGTAATAATACATAATTTTCATTCAAGGAATACCCAGGCACCCAGCCTCGTTAATTTCCAAAATTTAGGATCGTCCAGTTGGGCCTTGCTGATACGAACTTTTTGTATTTCAAATGAGAACCTTTTTTACTGTACATATTTTATAAGCACATTATTCATGACAAAAAATGTTGATCGATGAAAATGTGTCAAAATTTGAGCGAGTGTTTCCGATTTATTTTACTATATTATGTCTATATGCAATATGCATAAATACCGAAGGTGAGCAAGTCATTGAAACTAATTAATTCAAGTTAAGTGAACACAATATCGATAAATTATAAGTAAATAGTTAACTGCAGATAATCAATTGAACTCGCCAAGTTTAAAGTTAATATAGAGAAAAAAACAAATTAACGCAGTTTGAAAAAGTTAATCTACTATTTTAATTAATATGTGTATCATATAAAGTTGTCAACATTATATAATATTATTTTATCGAGCAACAACAGAAATTATAAAGTATTAGTATTTTTGAATTGAATACCGTGTACCTAAACAGCAATAAATCTATGTATGCAACTATAAAAGGAAACATAGGTACCATAAAACATTTTTAATTTTAACTTAGGATTTTTAAATCAACTAAAAAAATCCAAGTTATTTCAACATTTCAATTTATTTATTTATTAAATACATTAGAAAATTAACTAACTAATTATGTTAAAACGTTTTGAAGCATTTAACTTAATTAGGTTAGGTTAGCTCATAGTTTTTTAGTCACTGTCCATCTCTTATTTCTCCCAAGGAGTAAGGATAGTAGGTAATCGTAGGTTTGATATGATTTCCTAAAAAATACCTTTAAAAATGTCCTAAAAAAATGCAATTAAGACAAAAAAAAAATAAATAACGCCCTAAAACTACAAAAATATATTCTAGAGCTATTCCTAAGTACATAACAAGAAGAAACTATCAGTTCGAATTTTTGATTTGGAACCACAATATGATTTTCAAAATAATTGATTGCTTGACTATTTGTATTAAAATATTGTTGTTTTCTTTAAAAAAAAAAATACAAATGAGGTGTACCTATGGTTTTACAGCCTTTTTCTATTTTTACTGCAGGACTCCCGCAGGACGACGAAATGCCTGTGGGGCCATACCCCGTGATCGAAAAAAGAGGAGAACAAATCGTGCCAGTGGTGCAAGCCTATGCTTTCACCAAATACTTGGGCAAATTGGTTTTGACTTTTGACGGTAAAAATCGTTTGGTCAGTGCCGTGGGCGGACCAATTTTATTGGACCAAACCGTTCCTCAGGGTAAGTTTAATCAATACCTAATTATACCTAATTATAATTTAATATCGTTACTTAACGAATCAGTTATATAAGTTGATGTTTGCCTGCATTCGTGCGTATTCGTTGAAAAAAAAAACACTCATCAATTTCAGACGCAAAAATGTTGGCAAAGGTCGAATACTACAAACAACTGTTGGCGAAACAATCTGTCGACAAAGCCGTCGGAAAAACGCTAGTATTTTTGGACGGCAACTGTAAGTGTGAGGAGACCAATTTGGCCAATTTGATCGCCGATTCATTTATACGGGAGGTGAGTACGCGTGGATGACGGGACTTACCAATGAGCTAATAAGTTGTGATAAAAAATTGCTGCAAAATATACCTACGCACTAAATAAAAAAGTGTTTTAAAAAAAAACGATATTTCTAACAAAAACGGGTTGTATGAAACTACGTGCTGAATTTGTTTTCAGAAGAGTGGAAGACACTAAAATGAAAGCATGCTGGCTATCGCCTCTTTAATTATTTATAGATGTGAAAACGGTGGTTGGTGGCAAGTATTTCATTAAATTCATTTCTTGAAGTATGAAACTTTTGTGAAATATTTAATTCATGTGAGAAAAAAAAAATGTTTATTTTATCTTAAAGTGTGTAGTCATACACTTACGGCAAGGGAATATTTTTAAAATATTATTCATTGTATTGGACGCTAATAAACAGCTCATAAATAATAGACAATATAGGAATTGACAAGCGATAAATGAACGAAAAATAATATAATATATATAATACCATTTATACATAATTTATAACCATGAACATAGTTATAATTTTGTAAACATTGTTTGATAAGTCATTCATTATCGATATTTTCCATGTTTAGGTAATCCATTATCATTTTTTATCCACTATGAATAAATACCTTTAAAAATAATACAATTTTCTAATTTGAAATATCTCAGATGGAAAAATTTCAGGTGATATATATTGATATATATATAATTTCAACTATAGGTGGGTACACATTTGACTCTACCTACCTACTATGCGCCATAATTCTTTCTACAATTTTTTTTTGTTTATTTCAAAAGAATAAACTGCGAAAATGTGCTAAAATCAAAAAAGTTTGAAAATACCCTTAAAAGTTGATTCCCTAAGAAAAATTAAATTCGTAGTTAAAATGCGAGGTATGTTTCCTTGGTACCGCAATGTTCAAAAATCCACGTGTCTTCTGTACCATCAATAATTGTGCCACGATTTTTACCAATTTGTAATACTCGTTTCAGAATAATTTGTACCAATGAATTTCCTTTAACGAGGAAACCTACCTGCTATAATGAGGGTTGATTTATATACAGTTAAGTCACAAAGATAAAAAAATACCGTATTGTTTAGTGAATTCATTTAAAAAGTTAAGTTGAACGGATATTCAACAAGTATAATGACTAATATTAGTATAATAACCCTTCTTAGCCCTTTGTTTGTCGACCAATGTAAAATGTAGGACTATGACGTGTTATTTGATGACAATATCGCGTCATTGAGATACCGATAAATATATTTTTTTTAGCCACCACTTTAAGTATTTATACGTGTTTTTAATTGTATTAAATGTACTTTTTGAAATTAAATAAAACAATAGCCGACTAATACTTTTGACACACACTGTTATCTTTCGTTTCATTATTATATTTATGTTTCATTTTGTTTTGAAATATTTCAGAATTTGAACGACTTATTGAAAAACAACGTGACCTTAAGTGGCTGGACCGATGCCGCTGTAGCAATTATTCTGAGTAGTGGTATTCATCATTCAATAGATGCTTTAAAAACACAAGGTAAAAGCAGATTAATATTTCTAATATCATAAACCATATTTAATTTCGTTCGAGTAAAATAAACACTTATTGTTTTATCTCTATCTATTCGATGTCGTTTGATTCATTAAGAATTATCGCACCAGTGTTTTTCCTCAAGCAATCAAAATTGTATTTTAAGGAATTCATTAATATGCCTACGTAGGTACCTATATCTCATTATTAGCTATAAGAGCCATTGTTTCAACTGACTTTTGCGTAATATTTAAGCAAGCCAACCAATTCATATTAATCTAGCAAAAATCACCATTTGCTTAGGTAAATTATGAATCGGATGATTTTTTTTTTTTTAAATATTTATGTGTTTAAATTTTTTTCTTAATTTTATTTTTCTTTGATGGTTGTTGGTGGAATGGTTAAAAAATAGTTAAAGTGTGCTTCACCGGACATTATAGTTCTAGAACTTGTTCAAAATTTAATGGTCAACATACTGTTTCTAATAACTTTATTTTTATCAAATATTTTACATTTTTAATAAAAATAAATACATTTCCAAGAAATGTAAGCTACACAATTTTGTTTTTTTTAAATGTAAGAAATAAGTTTATGTACACTAAATCCCAGTATTGACATTAAGTAAACACCAATCGAGTTGATATTTGACTATTTAGGTTAGGTTAGAATATTTTTAATGTTTGGTTAGATAATGTTATGATCATATTGGATATTATGACATCGTTAAGAATCCATCTTATTTTATAGAAGTACGAAAAATTTTTTTCAAACAAGTTTCATCATTTTATACAACAATAATAATTATTGCCTCGACAACCTTCGGAGAAATGACTTTAAAAATGTATTAATAACTACGCAACCGCGACATTACCTTGAAAAATATCTTCCATTTTTCTTACTTTTCAAGCGAAATTCAAAGTTATAACAGTTTCGAAATCAAATTAATACTGAGGTATTTACCTATTGATGGACAATTTAAAGTATTTATATTCTGTTCGAATAATTAGACATTCCGGTTGTATTAATTGTTGGTTATTGCTATTTGTGAAATCTGAGAAACAACTGAAACAAAACATTTGTACGCTTCTCGCATGGTCCATTTACCATATTGTGATGGCAATGATTATTTTAAAGAGTACCTACCCCATAACTATAAGTTTTATTCGCAGTAACCAAACATTTTCAGTATAATAATTGAAAAATGCTAATTTGATTGCCGTTTACGAGGAAATGAATAAAATAATAATAATAACGCGATAACTTCTCCAATTTGGTTACCAGGAAATCGACTATAAAGACGCCCACGTAAAAAAAAATAAATACAATACGTAAATTCAATTTGAATTGGTTGAAAAAAGAATTCGTATAGTGTAATGCAGCTTCAATTACTGTAAATATAATAAATTGTTCTAAATTTATAGAAATTGTTGGAAAACATTCTGGTTGAGGGATTCTCGGTGTTTCGATTTGTGTTTATTTGATTATTTAATATTGTGCTTTGCAGACCATATACGTTGTGGATATTCGTATACTAATTTCATTTGTTATAACTCAAAATAGAATAGAATAGAACATCCACGAAGGCATTTGAAATTTCATAACCTACCTATTAATGAAATTAATTTATTAGGAACCTCCCTATTTGTATAGGGTGCTTTCGCTTTTAACTATCGTGCAATTTACTTTGCACTATTTATAGTGGCAGTGCACGGCAATAGACACTGGATTGTTGGGGATTAACCCCCCCCCCTCTCCCTTTCAACATGGAGAGTATACATGTATTTATTATATTTATTTATGTAACACATTATAATATGTAATTATTATGATAACCCTCCCCCCACCCCGTATTAAATAATAATAAAGTATTCACAAGTCAATAACACAACAAAATAATAGACGCGTATTAAAGGTGAATGTATTTTTCGTAGACAAAATAGACATAAGACAAAATAAAAATTTAAAAATAAACTCTGGAAACATTTCTTATTTGTGACGTTTGACATGTTCGGATTTTTCTGAATTTCGTACATTTATTTGGAATTTGAACTATTTTCGAGTTGGGATATTGTTCATACAAAATTTCAAAATGTTCGTTCTAGTTGAGTTCGGTTCGAGTCTTTTATAACTGGCTTCTACTTCCAGACTTGAAGCGAACACCTAAAGTTCTACCTCTATTCTATTCCTATTCGAATATTCGAATACAGGTGTGGCTTCAAGGAGGGGGGACTGGGCGATGTCCTCCCGAGGCTTTCTAAACATTTTTTCATTTCACATTTCTCCTCGTAAACAGTAAAATCCCGATCGTTAAATTAGATACCATTGAAATGGAATATAACGTAATGACATTATGGCGAAAACCCTCGGCCTGGTGAAAATAATCAAAATATTATTGGTTATCAATAAGAGTACAGTTACCACGTCAAACACATGAAAATGTTATCGATTATAACTTTACTAATGGTTAATCCCATTTATATCGAATTTTCAACAAACTTGGGTTCCCGGTTATGATATTTCCTAAGCCCCCCTGCGATGCAGTGAAAGTTAAGAAAAACGCCCTTTTCTCTCCTGGCAAGTCTCAGAAGTCTCGCCTGTTCGAGTACAATACCAAACGTATAATGTTGTTAGTACAATCAGATTTTCGATGTGTTATAATATTAATAATGTTATTCTTTTTTCAAATATTCACATTGATTTTTATATCAACAGGCGTTATATATGAAGATGACATTCATCAAACGTTGCCGTACAGAACTCCTCTGTGTAAAGTGACCATTACTGGAGCGACACTGTTGAAATCACTAGAGCACAGTGCATCCATGTATGATTACAGAAACTGTTCGAATCCGGAAAATAAGGTGTTCGGAGGTTTCATGCATATGTCAGGTAAATGTTGGGCAAACTAACTAATTTTTCAATCATCATCAAGTATTAATAGTTAATTTAGAAACATAAGAGTTCAGTTTAAATTTCCTATTTGTTACTAGTGTTAATTTTTTTTTTCTTTGACTCTTGTAACTATATAACAATTCACTGTAGACAAAAAACAACTTTAAACTGAGTTAAACATTTTGTACTTAGTTATATTTTCATCATCAGTGCAAATTACAAGTAAGAAGATATTTTGATGAAAACTATGATAGTTTTATACAAAAACAAAAATGTGTATTAAAAAGAATACACAAAAAAGTAATGTTGATAGAAATGGAAAGATATTCGTTGATAGAACCCTATAAAAAAAAACTCATTATAGATAGTAATAATAATTACGTACATAATTACAATTATAATATTATAACCGATTTTTATTTCATTTCAGTAGAAAGTAGGTACTCGGTACAAAGTTCTAATGATACTTAAATGTGACATTACAATTTTAGTAAATTCTAATTACAAAATTAATATTCTTTTCTACTACTGTACAAATAATTAAGTAAAATGAAAAAAATGATTTGATGAGTGTTTAAAATGTTGTCATTCCAAGTATTAATTGAATTTGTTGTTAAATACTTTTTCTCAAAAGTATAATTGAAATGTAAAACTTTTCAGTAACAATAGTAACATTGTATTAAAATTAAATTAAATACTCTCTGAGTCTTTGTGTCCACATTTAAATACAATAAATTCTGAAAGTATTTTTTGCGAGACTGTCAGTCAGTCAGGCGGCACAATCATCATTGCCAACAAAATACCGATTCCTAGGCGTGTTCGCGAACCCGATTCGAATATTGTTGTCACTCTGCGCGAAGTTCATTAGATAGGTATGTCAAAATAACCCGAAATCGTCGAAATCGGAATTCGTATATTATATTTAATAGTCAGACAATATCATACCCCAAGAAGTATATTATTTTATTATATCTAATGAAATACGCGTGCTTTTCCTTTTTTTTTTCCCAGGAATGTACGTCACATACGACAAGAAAAAGGCCGTTGGATCGAGGGTAAAGTCTGCGATGATACGGTGCTCGGAATGTAAGTTGCCGTCGTACGAGCCCATCGATCCGGGAAAAAAGTACACGGTAATCATGACCAAGTACATGGCACGCGGTGGTGATCGGTACGAAATGATCAGGGACGAACTAATTAGCATTAATTGTTCAAGTGAGTCAATACCCACCTAATTAATAACTAAATGCGATTAAAAGAAAACGCCAAGTATAATCAGTGTGGTCTTAAAATGTCAGGAAATTTATTCTCTCGAAGTATTTCGTTTACGTGAAAAATAAAAACTAAAAAAAAATCTGTATTACATCTAATAGATTATAGTCATGAGTAGGGCTCGGGATTTGAATGCCCCAAAAATATCAAAAAAAATGCCCTTTCAAAAAATGTATTATTTATTAAATGAATTCAAATTATTATTGAAAAATGAGTGAAAAATTCAATTACATTTGCGTCACACTGAAAATTATTTAAATTACGTAGTACTATGTAGTACTTTTATTTCAACGAGGTCAATTTTTTTAGTCGTAACTCGAGAAATGGGTCAAAAATGTACTAAAAAATTAAAAATGCATTAAGAACGTCAAAAAATGTTTGTGTTTAGAACGCGAAGTACTTGAGACATATTTGTAGCTTGGAAAGCAACGCGTAAGATATCCCAAAAAAAATATCGAAATCCGAGCCCTATAGTCATGAGCTTACAACAGTGGGAAAAATTACAAACGTATGTTAATCGTTTCGAACACTAATGAATAATTAATAAGTGATGTATTAACCGATAGTATAATACCATTTATATACCCAATTTACGATTATTGACATAGTAATTTCGTGAACTACGGTTGATGAGTCACATTCACCGTCGATCATTAATTCTGTGTGTACCTATATATTATGTAACATTTCCATTCGTCTAAAAGATAAAAATATCTTTCATAATTGCATTGAAATATTCCAAGAAAAGTGAAACTATCAATTTTAAAATATTTCGAAATCAGTACCCCCGACCTACTATACTGTACGGCAGGACGGTGCCCCCGCTTTCCGACCTTTTTTTAAAATCTTTTTACCCGGAACTTTTTTTCAGTCGTTCTCCCATACAACTGAATCGTGTGGACATTTATTTCACAGTCAGCGTGGCGAGTCAATAACGATTCGATTACTCCGACTAACCAGCTGTACTATTTTTCGGTTGTTCATACACGACCTAAATGTATTTTAATTGTCCCCGTTAAGCGGTGCAGTGAATCAAATGGAATAATTTTTTTCCACGCGGAGGCAGTCTTGGGTTATGGGAAAGTGTAAATCGAGAACAGGCAGGTGGAGTCAAATTCGTAATGCAGCCGAACGAGTCGGATAACCTTCGACTGAGGTTCTGTAATGGGAGACGCGAGCTGATGATAATATTATATGAACGCAAACAGAAATTAATAGAAATAATATTAATGTATACATTTTCTGATTTTTCCGTGGGAAACTGTATGTGAAGTATGTCGGGACGTTTTTGTCACATCCGACGTAGTTTTCAAACAAATACAATATGGTTTTAATCAAATAATCCAAATCCAATAAACTGTTGTGGGCGTCTCAACACTTCTGCACGATCAAACGGACTCGAAGTCAACACCTACGTTGAAAAATAACTTATCGAATTAGCATTTGATTTCGCGAATACGCAATACCGCGTTGATTGGCCCGACTCGGTTTTATTTTTAATTTTATTAGTCGTACAGATGTGTAAAGGAGACGACGGGCCAGAGGAAAAAAAGCCGAATACCGTTCTGCTGTACAGTATAGGTTACAGGTGGTCACTGTAATGGCGTTGAGCTTGAACTCAAAAATATGACGTTGAATACGAAAAACCGTTTTGAGAGGAGAAGGTCTATAAGTCAGTCCATATTATTATTAAAGTATTTAAAAACTACTATCGTAAATTGTTATAGAATTGTATTACTCGTACAAATTTTGAAATTCAAAATTTCATGACAAAAAAATTAGCTTTACTTTCCGGTAAAACTTTTTTTTTGTTAAAAACCAACAACTTATTAGGAATCTCTTAATAAAAATTTTCCATGCATTTCTAACTCAAAATAATTCGTTAAATTTTCGTGATTTTGACGAATTTTGTCAAAATTCTGACTTAAATGATTATAAAAATTATTGTGGATTTAAGCTCGACTTTTTTTTTTATTTCCATTACCAATAACTTATGAAAAACCTTATAAACTTTCAAGTATTTTGAACAAGCGAAAAATGTTTCAAAAATGTTTCATCGACAACAATGAGTATAAAGAAATATATTTAATAATGGTGTATAGAAAATGGTAGTATAATCATGAAGTACCTATGGTTATTAGTTTTTTAGTTACAACAAAAAAAAAAAACGAAAAAATTATTTATTTTACAATGATGTGTGTTTTTTTATTCTGTCCGTCATCTATATTTGTGGATGTAAATAATTATTATATTCGCCATTTCTAATTCAGCGATTTTTCTAGTGGAGAAGAGAATCTATTTGTTACTTTTGTGGGTTAAAAGACGCATAGACATGGTTGAAGTATTTTAATATTCTTTAAACGCACCATGAATTGCTTGAAATGGAACGTTTTCGACAAAAATTAATTCAATCTGTTGTAATACTAATGTGTAATAGACAATAGTAAAATTTATTAATTGCGTCATTTCAATATCACTGTACAATATACTTAGTTTGGCTATTTCACTCTTCTGGAAATATTTAAAATTTAATCATAAAAAATATTTCATTATTTTAAGCATACTTGGTTATAGATGAATATAAATGATCATTAATTGCGCGCAGAAATAAAAAAAATGATGAGTGACTCATCAACCAATGTTTGCTAAGTTAATATTGTGTTATAAATTAGGTATAAGAATAATTGATTATACGCTATCAGTTAATTTATCACTCATCAAATTGTAATTATTTATCAATTATTCATTAGTACTCGATACAATAAACCTACTTTTAAACATGATCTCTTGCTATAAGTTTATGACCACACATTTTTTCGTGTATCACACAATTTTTATTATTATTTTTATTTTTAACATACTAAAGAGAGTTACACGACACTTAATGTACATCAGAGCAAACTTGCCCACGACGCTTAAAATTGAATTTAACTTTTTTCGAGTAGTTTAAAATAGCCAATTCGTTAAACTTCTGATTTGTTGAAAAATGCTGATATTAAAAAAGTTTATTTAAGTCTAGTGGTTTAATTTTTGAAATATCAATATTTTTTTGGAGTACACTCTAAGCGTGATGAACTTTTTCAAAATATTATTTTTGGGACATTTCCAGCGTAATGAAATCTCAAGTTATTCACTATCCACACGTACAAATTTCATAATTTTTTTCACACTTCAAACGAGTATCGGTGTTTCGTTTTTTTGACTTTTCAGGTCTTTCAGCCTCACACTCTGCAGTTTAATATTAAATTCGACGTTTTATTCATTTATCGACAACCTTATCTGCGACTGCATTACCGTTCGTGTGCGTATAATTTTCGTACACCGACTCCAACCGAACGAACAATTAACAGATTTTTTAATGTCGCAAATGTGTTTTCCCTTTGTTTACACATGATATTTTGCTTTATAGAGATTTTTTCTCGTCGCAGTTCAAACGAATAGTAATCTACGGTTTCGCGTGCAGCACATTAACGTGACAGTATTTGGTAATTACTCATAATTGTCGCTCGTGCATTATTGCATGTATATACCAATATATTGATGTCGTACGTGACTAAAGTGTGTTTGGTGCGATTAAATACGAAACTGTGTTTGATGGTGTAGGTGTATATATATATATATATAGTATAGGTAACATATTCGTTGCCATTCGGTATACGACTCTATAATCTTTTAACATAGCGCATTGCACAGGTCTCTTGCGATTTAAAAAAATACGACGATATACTGGATAAAACCCACCCATACGGATTTTTTCGATTCAGAATTATTTCGTGTATAGCTATTAGCTGTACGATTGATCGACCGAATACGTAGTATACGGTGTGATTTTTAATCACGCTCCCCACAGTGTTTTTATGTTTAAATTATGCATCGTAATTTATAGGGTTTTCACGATCAAATTTCGATTTTTTTATTTAAATTTAGTGTAGTTATAGTCGACATTTCGGTATTGGATTACTTCGACTTTTCACAACATTTAAGAAGTGTACTCAAGTGTCCTGTGTAGACGATACCAACATTGATTTTTCAAATTACAGTCTACCTACATATGGTTTAATGTTAATTATTATGCGCATTTTATGATTTACCTTGGAAATGTCGATGTACCTATATTGGTTATTGCAATCGAAATCTGAAAGAAAAGTTTCTTAGGTATTCTACTTAAAATACTAACAATAATAGGCATAGTCTATTCAAGGGATATTGCTTATTTCTGTATTTCAAATAAATTGTAGTCGACAATATAAATTATGCATTTCGTAATATTATCAAAGTAAACTTGATTACTGATTAATAGTAATAAATATTAACAAATATTTTAGTATATTGCATATGTACTTAATCATCATAACAGCTGAGCTCTCATTCATTTTCAAAGTATTTATATACCTATTAATTAATATTAATATTAATATTAATATTAATATTTCCCTTATAGTATTTAAAGTAGAATGACTCAAAAACTTTTCGTTCGAAAAGATTTTGAGGAAAATCATCTGTTTCACAAAATATGGCATTAAAACTATATTATTTGAAAAACCAATGTTTGTACCACCACAGGATGTTCCCTCGAAATGCTGTGAAACATCTAAGCATTTGGAAATCAAAATTTAAATAAATACGTAGTTCAAACATAAAAATGGCGTGACAAATAAATCACACTTTTTAATGCGATCGCGGTCAATAATTATAATTTTAAAAAACAATAGTAAAATTATGTAATATTTAAAAAGAAATTTTTGAAGTTTTATTTGATCGATAATATTATATAATTTTTTTTTTCCAGATGTCTCAGAGACAGACGCTTTATTATCGTATGTCAAAGATGTCGGATTGATTTACCCTGGAGTAGATAACAGGATCAAAATACTAGATCAATAACGAAAATAATCGTAATACATAATATCATAATAAATAATAATATCATTATCGAGTAGCTAGGTAGTCAATTTATAGTGTCGACTTCGAGTTTCTTTGGTTTGTTAAATATTCACAGTACACACTTTGTTTCAAATTTTTGTCGGTAAATAAAATTACAATGTTTAACACAAAAGTTATTTCGTTCCTATTTTTCTATTCCTGTGATATAGTATCGGATGTAATCTATGGTCTAGGCGCAATTCATTTTTTTTTTGACTTGTGCATCTGAACTTTGACTTTTCTGTTATTGATTATGCGGTACACATGAGTGCGGCGGACAACAAATCAAAGTTCCAAGCAAATAGCAACGCAATATGTCTTAAATCAGGACATAATCATTTGAATTATTTAATAGCTTTATTTTGGTATTACAATCACAGACGTGCAAGCTAATGCATATTATAATTAACTCTAGTCGAGTTAAGTTAAGCGTACATGCCGCGATCGTTTAGTTTGAAATAATAATGTTGACTGGTTAAGTTTAAAGTTAATATTGAAACTTCAACTTCAACTCAACTGTGTTTTGAAAAAATGATCGTCGATCTCTTATCTTTTATCTTTCCAATAGAGTATAACTTATATGTGATTTTACAAGTTGAACTCTCATACGCAGCTGCCGCGGCAAGAAATCGTGTAAGTAATGTCGGTATAGTATTGAAATATTGTTTTCTAATACATTAGTTATTCGATTGTACCGTCGTCGCTTTTTGAGAATTAAAACATACGGAGCACTGCTGCAGTGGTCTGAAAAGAAATTTTAACTTGCGAAATCCAATTTTTTTGACGACAAGAATTAATTACGATTGAGGTTTGTGTATTTTTTTGGAGACAACCCGTACAAGACGATGAGCAAACTGTGTATGGACAATAACGGTCATTAACACAAGCGACATATTTTGTTTACGAGTGAAGAGTTCATAAAATATTATCTACAATTTGTTACCACTCTAGTTATGGTGTTACTATTAGCTTTCGCCGATTATTGTGAACACCACTGCAGTATGGTTTTAAGAATTTTTTGCTTCGACTCACACAATGAATCGTTTAAATGAAGTTAGAAAGTTAAAACTTGATAAAGCTTATTATAGATTCAAAACTTTTACATTTTACCGATATATTTAAAAATAATGCAAACTCGTTGATAAATACGTTAGTTTTGTTTTAAACCATAGAAAATAACTAAAAACTAAACAAATTTTAACAAATTATCGGTGCATACTTATATTTGAAACACTTGGTTTAAGAAACATAATATAATTTTTATTTTCCCCAATTCACCATTATTGATTACTTACGTGATTTTTTTTAGTACTTAGCTGGGTTTTGTCGAGATAGTAAGACAAAAGTACCTTATTATGAAACTTTTGAAAAAAAAAATGGGTTATATTTACAAACTGTACTCCAGAATTAGAAACATAAACATATGTATGGTTTAGTTTCAAAATCACGAGTTTGGTTAACGAAATAAAAACGTAATTTGAATAATTATCATGAAAAATAGTTTGATTTTTTTAATTCTTTTTGAAATTTCAAAATTTTTATTGATACTGGGTTGAATTAAAAATAATAATATCACATTTGGATTGGTCGTCCTCGAATACAATAAATACTACGATGTGTTTAATAGTTGTATCGAATAAATAAAAGGTGATTTTATAATAATTTTGGAAGACTCAAATCGTTTTCCATACCACTGTGCATAGATAGTATAGCTTTTTATCTTTGTGCACACTACAGGAAAGACGTATGGGGACCCGTCCATTTTGACACTTGTGCCCAAATTTATTCGTTTCTGAACTCGATGTCAATGGCTCGTCGTTGTACACTGCAGTATAATGCAGGTTTATAGATTGATGCAGGTTGCAACAGGTAGCCCTGCGCGCCTTAAGCCACAAAAGAATATTATAATATGATAATACAATATCGTTCACGTTTATAATAATAATAATAATAATAATAATACAATATAAATTATAATATGCATTGTCGTCGACGAGGATCAAGTTGAATCGATCCGTATCGCGAGTACCTATGGACAGTGCAAATAATTTTTATCTCTAACCTGTTATTATTGTAATGTTCTACTTACGTCCGTCTTACATGATGGTGTCCACTCTCCTTCCCGAATCATCCGAACAGTGTTTTTTCCGAAAGACCAAACATCCAAGACCCTTTAGAGGCCCTCGATAACTGTATTGCCATTCCCTTAAATAAATACAGGCACACTTGTCGCAGATGGTCGCGGTCCGCAGGTGGTTACCGGTATCGGTAAACTACAGCGTTTGTCGACAAGACGCGTATTTTGTGTTTTTACCATAACTACGTTTCGTACATTTTATTAATCATTATTATTTTGATATTCGGAATCTTTTTTAGGTAGTTATTTTGAATGCAAAAAACGATGCGTTTATTTTCCAAAGAAGTATGTTTTTCTTGCGTTTGAACACACTATTTTGTCTTTTGAGTTTTCAGTAATTCTAGTAGAATTCATCTCCGACCTTCAACTACGAAAAACGTTTCTGGTCGCAAATTGACTTCGGTTGTAAAATAACGTTTAACTCCTCGAAAAGATCACAGCACTCCACTAGTGAAAATTGAGGGGGGGGGCGAGCACCTTCAAAAGTCGAATGACAGATACATTACGAATGAGTGTCGTTTCGCCTGATCAATAAAAGAGACTCGCAATTTTCTATTCAATATATAGTAATATCAAAAACCTATAGTATCGTTTTTCAAAATTTGGCTTTTACTGCCTTTCTATTTTGGAGGTAGGTATAGTACCTCCCGCACTAGCCAGTAGCCACCCCACACGCACGGATTTCGGCGATATAATCTCAAGGCATACAATATAATATGTATACGTCATGTCTACGTTCTACATTATTATTATTGTTATTATTATTTCGTATCCGTCGTCGACCCGTCAATTTTGGGTTCGGGTAACGCAGCCTTTTCTGCGTCAACGACACATATGTATACAATCATCGCTGCCGTACCACTGCAGACGTTCCTGTACCGGGTACAACTGCGGTACACTCGCACATATCGGATTTACATTTATTTATTATTTTATCGCCCCGATCGCACTCGCCCGGGACGACGACGACGACGACGTGTCTCGGATTTTCGTGCACAGGTGTCCTCTTGTGTGTAATATTCTAATACGAGTATATCCCGGTCGGGCAGACGGACAAAAGACTAAGGTTTACGTATTGTGCTGCGTGACGACGACGACGACGCGACGGTGCGATTGTGTCTACAATTTTCTATACAGGGTGATACGCCGATCATGCTCACCCACGTTATTTCCCATGCCGACGAATATGTCATTTTTCAAATTCGGATTTTTCCAATATTATGTTTTAGTATAGATGCCTATAGCTACTCGAGCACTGTAAATATGTTTAAATACTTTGGGTTTGCGAATGCAGTTTTCAGGAGAGCTCCCCACGGCGATGCATTTAGACAGGTACCAAAATGAAACTTTTATTGTTAATATTGTTATGAGCAGACGATTTATCTTGAAGATTCTGATCTATAAAAACTAAAATTCAAACGAGTGTAGTTTCTGAATTATCAAACTTTTAGTAGCTTCTAAGGATAATTGTGATAATATACAGTCAATAAAAAACAAAAATAGACAATATGGTATGATGAGAGACTATGACGATTGAAAAATTATTGTAATTAATATAAATATATTATAGTGTTATATTTTTGCAAACATTTTCTGAGGATAAAGAGTAACCCAACCTTCTTGACTGAACATTAAATATTTTATAATTTATGCAAAATCATTACTGAGGATTATCATCCTTAAATAAAAAACTAAAAAAAAAATAGGTACTCATTGGAATTTCAATTTGAATTTATCAACATTTTGAAAGAAATAATTTCCAAATCATTTGGTGATTTGAAAAATAATATTTTAATACTTGTATATATGCAGTTGTCATTAGTTCATAACACCACAGAATAATCTTAAGATGGTATAAGTACTCAACATTACGATTTTCAAGTATAATTAAAATATTTAAAAAATCAAAATCAAAAATATCAAAAATATTAATGATTAAGGAGGGGGTGGGGTGCCTATGATTACGAATCACCCTGTAAATGCGGTTCGTCTGTTCGTCACTACCTCACCGGGTGTAAAATATTTTGGAGAAAAATGAGCAGAGGATAATATAATTATTATATTAAAATATGAGAGACGGATTTTTTTTCAGAAACCGCATGTCGAGTTTACTTAGTTTAAAATGTATTTGAATATTATGTGATAAATTGTAATTAAAAGCTGTGTTCAAAATTAAGGTTACACTGTGTACGCTGGTCTAAAGCGTGTACAATAATAAAGAATAATTAACTCAAGTTAAGTCAACTAAAGTGAACACTACAGTTAGTATTCTGAATTTCATCGGTTAAAATATGAAAAATCCGTTCAAAGTTAATATGGAAATAAACTTAATAAACATTAACTCGTTTAAAAAAAGGTTGAATTAAGTCTAATATTTTTATCGGTGCATATTATTTGTACGTTTTTATGAGACATAGTATAAATTATAGTGATTATACTACTATACTTTTAATGTAGGTATAAAACCTTTAGAAACCAAACATTTTTAAAAAACATTTTTAATTTTAACTTTATGCATTATTTTTGAACCAAATGAAAAATACTAAATTATTCTCAATGTCAATTAAACTAGTTAAGTTTTTACATAAATTGGAAAGTCAAGTGCCTAGCAAGTTAAGTTGAAACGTTCATAAAACATGACTTTTTAACTTGACATAAGCTTACGTGTATGTTATATAAAATAATCATACTGAATATAAGAATCAGTTACTGGCTGTGAAATTGACCTACGATCGGACATATTATATGTAAATATGTATAAGCATATGATGACTGATATTAGATTTGAGAGGATTAAATCCGAAATTAAATTTCGTGTGAATCTAGTAAGATCGGTTCTTAACGGGAAGGAGAAACGCTATTATTGAGCGCATACATAACAACCGTACTCTTCTACGATGAAATGTATCGTTCCCAACGGCTGCACTTGTCAAAATAACTGTGAGACACAAAGTTCACGAAGGCCATAAATCATATTATTAACATACCTCCAACGAATCTGTTGACAACACTGCATTGAGCAAAAAAACAAATACTCGTTTCAAATACACATCGTTGGAATATTGTTACGATACGACTCGAAGAGGAATAAATAATAAGCCGATAATATATGTCTTGTACGGTATTGAATATACCAGGGATGGGCAACTCGAAGTTACTAGCGGGCCACTTTTAAGTACTTTAAAATCTAGCGGGCCGCAGTGCATAAGAGAAAGCGACGAAAAAAGGTCCTTCAAATTTACTAACAGTTATTTTTTACGTTTATTTATTTATATTTACAATTATTATTTAATGTGATACTCGAGGATTTGGTTTTTCAGTAGAGAATTTAGTAAAATCCACTTCTATTTCGAATGATTTGTCGTGTAATGTCTTTTCAAATTATATTCTTTTAGTACTACAATAATATTGAAACAAACTAAACATTGAGGTTTTTATTGTTTGTCAATAATAAATAAATAATCATTCTCCCATAAGCTGTTAAAAATTCTATTTT